GAAAGGCGATGAAGGCGATGAAGGACGCGTGAAAAAGGCGCGAATTGAAATACAGGCTTTTTGCAACTGACAGGTGAATGCGAAAACCTCTAGTGAGGGGGAGAGGGCAGTTATGTGCTTTTAATTATTATGTGCTATGCGGCAAAATAAAAAGTTTAATGATAATGCTCTCTGGAAACTTTTCAAAACCCAAATGGAATCACGTTTTATAAAAAATGTATTGAGTTATTAAAAAAATTTACAATACTTTTTTTTTACTCTTCTAAGCATTTTATTGTTCTAAACCGAAACATTTATTGAAATTTTTCGATAAATTCAATTGGTATTGAAGCCAGTTTGCTAAAAATTCATAATAATTATGTGTTGTACCCAACACAAAACAAACAAACTATCTCACTGTTTCCAAGCACTAGAAACTTTTCAATATTCAAATTATTTCAGGTGTGCTTAATCCAGTTTTTTTTTTAAATATACAAGTACATGTTGTATTATTGCATTTTAATAATAGTGATAATAAAATAAATACTCTTATTCTATAATAAACTATCGGAAGACTTTTCCGTCTATCTGTTTGTATGTATGAACGCAAAAAACTTTTCAACCTTATGGTAAATTTAAAATATTGTCAAGTTTTGTAAGACCCCTAAACATATTGTACAGCGTGTTATCAAAATCACTGAACTATATCACTTAATTGCCTTAAAAACTATTGGTGCAACAAACTTTGATGACGAACTTGGTGGCGGGAATCGGATAAACAACAGTTTCATTCAGTTTTCAAGTTATACCGCATGTACAATATACAGTGAAAACTCCCTTAATGGACACCTCTTTTATCCGGACAAAAAACATTCGATCGGTATTTAAAGTATTTAAGTATCCCCTTAAACGGACACTCCCCTTGAGCGGACAAAAATTGGCCGACCGTAAGTGTCGGGCCAAGAGAGTTTTCACTGTAGTACATATTAATTTGTATTTTTTAATAAGCAAGTAGTTGTTGCCCTTAAATATATAAATAGTGTGCCCAAATTTAGGTATTTGGGTTTTTAAGAGATCAACGCAGAAACAATTACGTGAAAAATTGAATTTTTGTCTGGCTATTAAATAGATTATAAATAAACCTTTATTGCGGCTTCTTAGAACTATAAATCTGAAAGTATATCTAAACTGTTTAGCTCATTGATTCAATCATCAAAGCCAAGCCCAAAGATTCTTCATCTTTCATCAGAAATTTGTGTTTAAAGTTAATTGTGGAGCTAGAAGTGTGCATTAAGAGTTAGTAAAAAATTCAACCCGCAATTGGGAAAATAAAGAAGACACGACACATAGAATTGGTCATTCATCTCACAGGTGATGACTAAATCGCTAATGCATTTCAAGAACCATTTCAGAGTCTCATTTGCTTTTTATCAGAGTATAATAAAAAGTGAACTGAGTAGTCAAACAAAAGTCTATCCTTAACCATGCTCAGGAAACCGTCAACTAGCCGGGCAAACCCTTCAGAAACAGTTGTCGCTGCAACACGAGTATGTAGTATTGGTCATGTCCAGCGTCAGTTTCAGTTCATTTATGATTGCCCATGACAAGCAATGGAGCGTCTAAGTGCCTCAGCAAATATACCTAGTTGGGGAGTTGGGGAGTTGGGGAACAGTCCCAATTGCGGCTTGTGAACTGCTCCACTGCAACAGTTACACGACGCGTCGTCGTCAGCTCAAATATTTACCGTGTGGTTAGCGAGATGGCAATGGAGCAAGCGATGATGTCGGCGCGAAAAACTAGTAGCTCCGAATGCATAGCAACATTTTCAGGCAAAACTTGTTAATTATGCCAGAGTACAAGTCGGCCACACAACCCACACTTTGGGTCTCCATTTCCATTTCCATCTCCATCAGCTTGTTTTTCATATCAATTATTAAGCTGGCCACTCACATAAGGCTGGGCAACAAAAGTTCTATTTAAACGGGGGCGCCAGTCAACGCAGACGGAACACAATACGAACACACATTGTCATCCTTTTGTGCAACACACTCACACATACAAGTATACACACACATATAGTGCTATACTCCCAGTTATCCAGAACAGTTGAGTATGGCTGGGTTCGGGCTCAGAGCCAGAGTCAGAGTCAGAGACAGCCTTAGTTTATTCAAGTGCTCAAGTTGTAGATACAACATATTGCTTCGTAGCTACATATGCGTCTTGTTTATTATTATGTGTGCACCCAACTTTGTCTCCGGTACAAGCCATCCCCGCCCCTCCCCCCCTTCCCCCCTTACCACACCCTACAGCTGTCTCTTCAAGGTGTCGGGTACAGAGCTCTTGGCAAAAGTTGCGCATTTGATGCCGCTCGCCACTTGCCCTGTCAATGTATCTATAAATTAGTATTTTAGCAGCAGTCGACAGTTGGGCAGCTACTTGTACTTGCATTATGAGGGGCTGTGTGATGGGAGAGGTGTGTGCATGTGTGTGTGTGTGTAGGGGGGAAGGAGGGTACTACATAGTACTATTGGGGAAATTGCGCTTTTGTTCGGCATTTATTGTTATAGTTTTGCTGCCCATGTGTGGGCTCCGACTATGAAGTTGACAGCCGTTTCTTTGAGCTGCTGTCGTTGTCGTCTTCGTTGTCATTGTACTTCTCTATGGTTTGTCATTAGTGTTGCACGTTTGGCAGGAGTTGCTAAGTGTTGTTGTTGCTATTGTTCATCTACAACAAAGCAGTTTATGTTTGACATTGTTGTGGCGTTAGTTGCCCACAAAGGGCCACTAAAATTACATGTTACAATAATTAGCCATATTTCCTATTCCTATTACTTGATAACGCTTTAATCTACGCTGGATGTGTATTTAAGAAACCATAACTCTCCTCTGATTTTAAGTTGGGAAATCTATTTTCAAATCATCTAAACCTTACGATTGTTCGAATATACTTGATCACCCATCCATTTATTTACCTTTATTTTATCTTCTTTATTAAATCTTCTAAACGACCTTACGATTGAGCAAGAATACTCGTCCATTCATTTACAAGTATATATTTAAACCTTTGGTTACATCTTCTGAAAAGTAGAATAGTCATGAAATGTAGCCCATATATGTTTCTAATTCCCATTATCATTACCCATAATATTGAAGAAAGGAGGCCTTACGTAACATAAAGCTATTTTCTGTAGGAAAGACATTTATTTCCATTGCCAAATAGTTGTAGTTTTGAGCTAAGTACATAGCTCGTCAATAGGTTCTTTATATTCTGAACATTTTCTTTTGCCCAGACCGCCTGTGAATTTTTTTATTTTGCCATAATATTATATATGATAGATTTATGGTGAAGAGAAAGAAGAAAGCTTCAAAAAGTGAAAATGCTGTGTGAAAATAAATTAAACTGTATTTTTAAACTGTGTTTTGAACGCGTATCTCCTGTGGTCCCACAATATTGTCATTATTAGATGCGAAGCAGGACTCTTTGCACTAAAAGGACTCTTACACTATACACTACAGTTCAGTTAAAGAAAATCTTCTAGCATAGAGAACAATTCTTTCAATTAAAATACATCATAATAAGGCAGCTCAAAAGGGCCTTTAATCATGTTCTAAATAATATCTACTATTCTAGGCACAGGCACTGGGAAATATATATGCATATTCAGACTATAGTGAGATATTATAATAAGTCTTTATATGTATGTTGTTTAAGTAAAATTATCTGCATATGCGTGCGAAGTTTTATGTCACTAACTGTTGTGATTCAAAATCCCTCGATTTTCATATAAACTGCAAGACAGATATATCTATATCGATTCTTTTCATCATGCTGAACATAAAATAAATATTTAAGCATAACATTGGACTTAACATGCAGACTTATTAGAAAACTCTCTCACTTTTCAGATAGAAAGTATAAAAATTTACATAAAAGGTTCAAGAAAACATATGATAACCCCGTTTAAATAGAATGACTACCTATTTCAAAAATGATTTAGTATTGGAACGAAATTGGACATATCTATTTATACCGTATCGTATCCCTAAAACTTTAAATACATAAAAAAAAAATGCAATACAACCCCCGTTTTACAACACTACACTCTACGTTACCATATTTATGCACTTTGATTCAGTTTTTTTCTTAAGGGAAATGTGTTCCATAGTCCGCAATTAAGATTACCTTGTCGGCCATGAAGAGTGCCACCCACATTGGAAACCTTTTCCATTTCCTTTACAGAGACCACCTTGTTGCTTTCAGAGTTTTGTGACACATGCCATTATAAAATTGTACATTAACTTAAAAACATTTGCAATTTCTGTGTGCAACAATGGCCTACTTGTATTGCTTCCCTTTATATAACTCTGTCTGCTAGCTCGCCAGCCCACTTGCCACTTGTGTGGCAACAAAACGTCACAGCACGTGCATGTGCCATCGACATCCTGGCCAACGTATGCCAACGCCCTCAAAAAATGTCTCAAACCCTTGCAATGACAAAAGCACGCCCCAAACCACCTGCTGGGCAGAAAGACAGACACACACACACACACAAATATAGGGAGACAGTGTGTGCGCCATTATCGTGCAAACATCGTCTAACCAGTCCTGAATGACTGACAAACAGGCAACGAGGCAAACAACGCATAACAACAACAGCAACAACAGCAACAAATAATGACAATGCCCAAAACTGCCATTGTTAGTGCAGAATGAGATAGGAGGACAGACAGTGTGGTATGGTGTGTGTGTGTGTGTGTGTGTGTGTGAGAGAAAGAGAGAGAGAGGGACAGAGAGAGTAAAGCCAACAATGCTCGACATCCTTCTCGCTGCTGCCGCAGACAAGATGACAAGTTTTGTGTCCACAGCATAAACATACCTGCCAGCCAGCCACTTGCCATATCTTGAAGTGTTCCCCATTTAAGGATCACATTTTGGCAACACATTCTGAGCAGCCTGAACCGAAGTGCTTAACCGAAAAGTAACTAAATGCTTATTAACAATTCTTTTTTCTTGCCGGCAGGTGCCGAATGGAAACTATTGACGGAGGAGGAGAAACGTCCTTTTATCGATGAGGCCAAGCGCCTGCGGTAAGTTAAAATATTTGAATTCAATTTAATGACGATTTTGTAAGAAACCCCAATTAGATATTTATTGATACTTGTATTATCTCCATTGAAGAACATTTTGTAGAGGAAGCCTAACTAGATATTTATTGATATTATCTCCATTGAAGAACAATTACCAGTTTATTAGACAATACAAGCTTTAAGAATTGGTATAACTTGTTTCTTGATAGACTACAAGTATTCGTAGCACTGCTCTTGTTATCAGCACTCTTCGATCTTTACTTTACTTTTCTTCCCCTCTTTCTACCATATAAATGGTATATACGAATATATCCAAATTAGTTTCGCAAATCAATTATCTCCTAATAATGTATAAACTGAAAATTCTAGAAGTAACAAAATCCATATTATTTAACATTTTAAGCGTATTATCTGACTTAACTAATTCAGATGCTTGTGTTGTTTTAATAAATCAATTTATAAAAGTAAATTTTTAAATTTATTATTTTAATTTTTTTTAAATAAATTTATAAAACAAGTCATATTTAAATAATTATAGAACGTAAAATTGTATGGTCTTTAAGAAAATGATTTCAAATTGATCTTAAATATGATTTTTCAGCAACAAAATAAATCATTCTAGGTTATACATACATATATAAATTCTCATAAAACTGTGCAAAAAGCTCTAAAATGAACATTTTCTCTATGTTTGTTGTTGTTGATTTTCTTGAACAATCCAATAAAGATAATACTACCATAACTTTTCATGATCATTCTTCACACTAGAGAATATAATCCTCTGCTAAATTTATAAAACAAGTCATATTTAAATAATTATAGAAGCATATTTTCTTTATAGACCGAACGTAAAACTGTATAGTCTTTAACAAAATTATTTAAAATTGATCTTAAATATGATTTATCAGCAACAATATAAATTATTCTAAGTTATATATATAAATATTCCTACAACTATGCATAAAGCTCTAAAATGAACACTTTCATTTCACTTTTTTTCCAATAAAGATAATACTATTCTTCACACTAGAGAATATATAATGTTCTGCTAATTTCATTCTCACTTTTCTCACTTATATTGAACAATATAAATCATTCTAAGTAATATATAAATATTAAAATCAATACTTTCATTTCACTTTTTTTCCAATAAAGATAATACTACCATAACTTTTCATGATCATTCTTCACACTAGAGAATATATAATGTTCTGCTAATTTCATTCAAACTTTTCGCTTTTAGCGCCATGCACATGAAGGAGCATCCCGATTATAAATATCGACCGCGCAGAAAACCAAAAGCACTACGTCGCGATGGTTATCCATATCCCATGCCATATCCGTCGGTGCCCGTGGAGGCATTGCGTGCAGGTGCGTAACCACAATAACTATGTAGATTATAAACCCTATATAAATGGCCAAGCGAAACCAATTCAGCCAAACTATGTAAATAAGCGGCTAAATATGAGCCACAGCTCCAAGCTAAGTATAAGACAAATGCAAATGTGACACGATATGAAAATGACAAACTAGTCCACCAATACACACACAAAAGCACACACACATACGCACACTCACTCAGCCACTCAAGTAGTTGCTTTGAGTACCAAGTTTTGTTTGTGACACAAGCCGCTAGTCGAGTCGACTCGAATCGTGTCTAGAATGGTGGCTAGATTGGCCCAAACCACCAAAAACCGCCCATTTCCATGCCTGACAAACTGTGAAGTCATCATCCTGGCTTAACAACTCATTCAAGTGACAGACGCGCAGACACACAGACATAAAGACAGACAGCCCATATGAGCATGAACATAAGTTTCCATTCATGATTTCTATTCACACATACACTCGCATATACTCGTATTTAGAACCAGCTCCGGACTGAGGGGGTGGACATGGACGCCATTGGGCCACCACACTAGGGGCGCAGCCGCTCGCATGTGCCGACTAGTAGTTGTAGTTGTAGTAGTTGGAGGTTTTAAATTAGCATTTGTCACGTTTTTTGTCTTTTGTCGAAGCTCAACCCAAAAATGTAATAGAAGGCAACCGGGTGGCTCAATTTTACGCAACTTTTCTGATGTGGCAGCAAATTTTGTGTCGCAGGACGACGACGATATAAGGGGGACGACAACATATGATGATGATTTATGCACAACGGAAATGATAATAAAAATGAAAGGAAAAGCATAATAAATAAAGCGAATTAGCGTCCCACCCACAAAATGCGTTTAAGAAGAGCAAAGAATGGACTGAGGCGAAGAAAAAAAACAAATTGATTTTCTACACAAAAAAAAAACACGGTTTATTTAATAAAATAATTTCAATTTAAAATTATAATAACTAATTTAATTCAAATAGTTGTAGCAGCAATATAAGCATTGGTTTGTTAACTGTGATAAAGGAATTATGAATTGTTATGCCCTATACCCGAACGCTGAAATAGTCTGTCCGTTTATCTGAGGCGGAGAAAAAATAGCAAATTGATTTTCTACACAAAAAAAAACACGGTTTATTTAATAAAATAGTTTTAATTTAAAATTAGAATAACTAATTTAATTCAAATAGTTATAACAGCAATATAAGTATTGGTTTGATAATTGTGATAAAGGATATCACTGTTTTAAGAATTGTTATGCCCTGTACCCGAAGGCTGAAATAGTCTGTCCGTTTGTCTCTTCGTTTATCCGTCCGTGCTAGGGACATCAAACTTGGTGTGTAGACTAGACCTATCCATACGCAGATCAGGTTTATTACAAACCACATATAACCTCAATATGTAGAAATTGATGCAAAAATCTTTTCTTAGTATTAAGATAAGTAGGATTACTTGTTTCTTTCATGAATCTTGACCAAATTTTGAATTTATACGTTTTTTGTGGAGTGCCTTGCCACAATCTTAAGTATTATCTAAATCGATTGACTATATCATATAGCTGCCGTAGCTTAGATAAATACAAAAACCATTCTCACTGCCTAAAGTTTTGTTGTTTATTAAGATATTGAAACAAAATTTGATATTTAGCAGCTTTTCATAGTGTCTCAATATAATGTACAGTTTCATGGAATTCGAATTACTTAATCATACATATGTACCTATATTTTTTTTTTTTTTTTTGATGATTGATGCAAAAATAACTCTTATTACAAACAACTTTTCTGTTTCTTAGACGTTTTTTTAGTATACCACTTATCTCGAATTTGTATAAAATCGGTAAACTACTTCATGAAGCTATTATAGGATTGATTGATACAATTCTTAAAATTGTCCAATTACTATATACAGTGTATTAGTTTTATTAGCAAAGACATCAAATTGAAACCGAAAAATTGGAAAATTAATAGACAAAAGTTTCAACTACATTTAAGCAGCCTAATTTTATTGAATTGTTCAGTTTTTTCCACTATAGATTTTCAAAGAAATTTATTTTATTTTATTTTATTTTGCACTTCAAATTAATCAATTTTATATAGCTTAACTTCTCTCACTTTTCATTTTAATAAATACATCATTTATAATTTAAATATGTTTAATAAATTCGTTGGAACTCAATTTTGCAAATTTAAACAAGAGAGAACGCTACAGTCGAGCAAGCCCGACAGTGTAATACCCTGTACCCAGGTAAACTTCCGTCACTGAGTTATATGCGCCCATAGCAGCAGCAAAAAGAGGAAGAAGAAGAGCGAACTTGTTGCTGAAGTTTGGTGGGGTTGTACTGGCGAGAATTTGTTTCGCTAATAACTTTTCTTAGAATTGACCGAATTGAATTTTGAACAACAGTATACAATTATATATAAATTATGTGTGCAAAGTTTGGTTTAGGTAGCATTTGAAATGTGGACGCTATTGACGAAATTCTGCAGCGGGGGAAGGGGGGGAAAATTAAAAAAAAAAAAATAAACTCGTCCTTACTCGGACCTAGGAGAATCTGGATGCCAACTTTGGTTATTCTAGCTTTTTTAGTTTCTGAGATCCTCGCGTTCATCCAGACGGACGGACAGACGGACGGACATGTCTAGATCGATTTCTCTCGTCATGCTGATCAAGAATATATATACTTTATGGGGTCGGAGATGCTTCCTTCTGTATGTTACATACTTTGCACAAACCTAATAAAAAGAAATGCAAAAACAGATAATTTCTTGAAATTCAAGCGAATACATACTTGTATATCGTATATTAGGAACAGTCAACCTTTCTAGTCATACTATAAATACAAGTATAAGTAATATTTTGAAACCTATTCGTTTGTCAAAAATCAGCTTAACATGCAGAACCATTTCGTATTATTCGAATAATACCAACTTTGTTGTAAACACAACCAAATGAAGGCCATAACGGCCACTGTTAGAAACCATCAAATGCGTATCGGTCCAAGTTTGTTGTCTCAGCCATTATAATTGCTGGTAGTGTATTCGCGTCCCTCTCGATGCCCGAAACATGGACTTTATAATTGGGGAGTGTTCATGAATGAAATTCACGTTTCAATGTGTGTCTCAATAAGCGGCGCCTGTAATTATCGAGACGTCCACAAAAGACCAAACAGCTTGCGGACTACCGTTTAGGGCAATTGGTAATAACAGCGCCGACCCATTGTGCATCCATCAGATACCCAGATACTCTTTCTCCTACACACATACACGCAGACACTCTGGCTTAAAAGTAATGTTGATAAAATAGCTGATTCAGCGCACAATTAAATAGCGGCGACCCAAAAAAAAAGAAGAAAACTAACAGAAAACTCCACACAACTAACGATAAAAAATAAAGAGTTACAACAATGGGCGCAAATATTTCGAGTGGCAATTATTTTAAACACATACCAAGACGAGACGACTTTGTTGCTGTTGTTGTTGTTGTAATTGTTAACCATATTTTTTTTTAAAAAAACTTTTGAATATATATATTTTTGTGTACACTTGCAGGCATAACGCCCGGTTACTTTGCGCCCGGACCCACAGCGGCTGCCTATCATCTGGGCAGCCATCTCACACAGACAACGACGCCGACAACGCAGGTGAGTTGTTGATGATGGTGTTGGACTTAAGCTCAAGTGGCACAACGTCCATCAAAGTGCTGAACGGTAGCAAAACCAATTATATACATACGTACGACTGAGTGCATCGATCGGCCAGACAGGTTCAGAGGGAAGGGGTCGATTAAGGGAACGGACTGCTGCTGCTTCTGCTGCTTCAGCCGCTACTGCTGGTTAATAACATAATTACAAACTCCTACAGCAGACGCCCACTTTAAAAGGCGGAAAACGGACTCAGCGTCTGTCTGGCCGTGACTAAGCGCGACACGCTTCCTGATCGCGATCCTGACATTCTGACATGTCATCGTGCTTGCCCTGAGGGGCGTTACGGGGGCAGGATTTGTTGCTGCCAGCGTCTGCAACTTGCCATTACATATTTAGGGGTTTTGAAGTGTCGGAACACGATTACTGATAACACAAATTCCCCGAGCAAAAACAAACAAAACTAAAGCGTTCGGGGGAAGTGCGGCAAGAAGCAGCTGCAATCCAACGAGTTGGCAATTAAAACGAGGCCACAAACAAATACAAATAACCACAAATGCCGTTTACACAAGCAAACAAGTTTCACAAACTTTCAATTTTGTGAATAAGGCAGAGATGAACAAATTTAATAAACAACAGCAGTTAGAAGCTCCGATAGAATCGCAATTTGGATTGATTACATAGCTATAGAAATATTGGCTATTAATTTGTCTAAAGATATTTAAGTCTGGCTTAAATATCAATACAAAGAGGGGCTATATTTTTATTGAAAAGTTTTTTGTCTAGTTCTGTACTAGGATTAGAAATAAAAGGGCAGCAAAAACAGCTGATTTATTAAGCTATGTAGGTGTGAGAAATTTGAAATTTTTGCTAAAAATCAATTTCCATATACTAATCATTCCCATGGCAGCCACATGATTAAGTATGTGAACATATTTTGTTGAAACTCCCGACTATATGATGAGGCCCTATAAACGATGCAGGAAACTTTTTAAAGAAAGTACCAAGGCAAATGTTTTTCAAATATTTTCGGCATTAATTTAGACACCCTAGCAACATTGAGTCGAAACAAATATCTGCTAGCGGTCTTTATTTTTAAACAATGTTCAAAAAGTTCCTCAAGCACCTTGAACAAAGATTTTGCCTTTAACTTTTGTAAAGTAAAGCTAATGCCTACCTCTGTGAGTTTGGAAAAAAGAATATTCATTTCTATCCGTTAAGTACATATTAAACAGTATGTGCAAACAGCATGCTCCAAAAAGCTTATATCTTTGTGCAGATTTAATTCAGGTTGTGAAACCATTAGGAGCAAGCGTTGGTTTCAACAACAAATATTGTGCATTTATAAATTTCATTTTCATTTTTCATAAACCAACTTTCTTGGGATTAATACAACTTTTTTTTAATTTAATAATTAATTTTATTCCTTATTTAAGATCTGTCCTAAGGAGCACAAATTTTAAATTATATGGCAGCATTGGAAATGTTGATGAAATATTAACTCAGTTCTAAATTGCTTTATTTTTATTAAACACCCAGAAATATTTGCTCAAGTTTGTTAAAATATCCGACTAGCGCCTAAAAGTCTTCAAGACTGAAAGAAGCACTGGGTGTTGGATTCTGGGCGTGGGGCGTTGCCCAGACTCGCGTCTTGGAAGCTGCTGGGCTATGTGTGTGCGAGTATGTACCTCTGCCTGGCATTCAGAATATCTGTATGCTTATGTATGCGTTGATTAACAACCCATTAAAAGTCATGACTTTTGTTTGCCTTTGTTTGTCTGCTGGTGGCTGAAAGGCCCTTTCAGAGCTGTGTAGATCTATTTGAGGCTGTGATTGATGTGTGCCGAGGGCGTGTTTGAATGCCAAGTGAGTTCTTTGCCAGCAGTTATGCGGGTGTTGAAAGCCGGGCATTAAATTTAATAACAGGCCCAGTACCTTCGCCCATAATAATAGACTAAGTTTAAGCCACAAGCGCTTTGTGAGTGAAATATATGAAAATTGCATTGAAAGGCAGGCCAACAATCGAGTGTTGCCTTCTTATCGACCTGCTAAGTGAGCAAGGGTCTTCGGGAAGTGGGTGTGGATTGTTAATATAGGTTCGTATCCAAGCACAATTCAATTAACAATTTAAAGAATTTATTATGTAGCTAAAATAACTTTATTTCAACTCAATTATTAAACCCCATTTATAATTTTGACAAGATGTCCTTTTAACTCAATTATTGAAGCCCATTTATAATGTTGACATAATGTCCTTAAATCAAGTTCTAGAAGATAAAAATAAGCTATTCGAAAAGAATGAGCTGAAGAATAATATATATAATACATATATAATATGTATAATATAATATAGTTACATAATTTCTGACCCAACTAATTAATAGATTACCTCATCGTTTTCAAAAAGTAATTCCACATAAAAAAGTACTTGAAATCTCCATTGAGACATCAAGAAACATTTCCCCATCTAAAATTCTCGAATACTTCTTGATAGAATTAATAGTCTAAAATATTTGTTTATCCCAGTTCTTTAGCTTTGAAGAATGATGCAAAGCTTAAAGTGCATAAATATTTCAGATGAATGAGGGTTTTATTTAGAGTTAAAAAAGAAATTTGCAAGCAAAACTGTGTTGGTTTCCACAATGCTTCTGAAGAATTTGTACAAAATAAACCATCTTTTCGGGGACTATAACTATTTAAAGCTCTAAATAAAAAATTGAATTATTGAACTACATAATATACAAGTATGTAAATAATAAAATAATAAGAGTTGTATTTGAAAATTCAAGATTTCAAAATTTATATATTTAAAGATTTTTTGCTCTTTGAAGACTTGTACAAAATAAATATTTTTTTCGGGGATTTTACTATATTGAACTACAAAAAATAGGTAAAAATTAAATCATAATTTTAAGTAAAACTATAATTTTTAAATTCAAGATATAAAAAATTTATATATTTAAACACTTTTGTGCCCTTTGACTAGTTGTGGATAAATAAAATAAAAGGAATACCACTAAGAGAACGGAAACGAACTACTTCTCAAAATCCAGCATATACAAACATTTATATTAATTTTAAATTGCCTTGATTCTGAAGAGCCTTGAATCGCTGGCAAGTAGCAACCACAATATCCGAATATTGCGTTGCCAGGGCTACCTTGAGAAAGGTGATCCTTCCCAGCTGCCACCTGTGCAACAAGGGAGCGTAATTCGAGCACTGGCATACAACCAAATCAATTAATAGCCACATAATACGGCCAGCAAACAGTTGAGGAAAACAAACAGTTGCAACCTCTAAGCGCTGCGTAAACGTCGCGCATCAAAATATTTACAAATCTACACTAATTCCCAATTGGGCGCAAATCAAATCAAATTGTAATCCAAAACGCTTTCGGCCCAAACACACATGTACGCACAACAAATGTCGACATTGGCGCTGACGCTGGCAATGATGAGTACGACGATGATGTGTTAACAACATAATTATAGCCCAGAGCAGCAAACAGCCCCGGCAAGGGCAGACGCAGAGACAGGGGCAGGGGCAGAAGCAGAAGCAATGCGTCGGCAACCCTTCGCAAGCACTCAAAACAAAACGGAAACGAAGCGAAAACAACCCCTCGATAAACTGGGGTTTGGATTCTCGACTGGTGTAGCAATAACAAGCAGGCCGACCAACAAATATAGAACGTATTGCAAATCAAATAGAATTAGGCAGCGAGACACTTGATGGCGGGGGGAACGAGGGGGTGGTCTCTTGGTCTGTCGCTCGGTTTTACACAATTAGTTGGGCAAATAAAGCCACAAAAGTGTTAAGCAATTTGCACTAAACGTTCTCAATTATGCCCGCTCTCTCTTACTCACCATCTCTCTGTCTCTCTCTGCCAGCTGTTTCAAATTAAACGAAACGGTCATCCTTCTTATATCAAAGCTTTTCATGTAAAACCTTATAAAAAACTTCAAAAAGGATTTTGCAAATATTTGTACACTTGCTGATATTCCTATTTATTTTTATTTATTGTTTATTTTGTTCGTCCTTTTAATGTACAAAATTGTGCAAGCTTTCTACGATAAATGAATACAAAATATTGATGATTTTCCCGATTTGAAAGTGATTTCGAAAGCCCTAACAATAAATAAGAATAGGGCTATAAAGAATTCACAATCGAATAAATTATATCTGAAAAAACAGTTTATTACGATCTTCGTACGGAAAAGTGCATCGTTTACCCACCAAGACGCAAAATTAAGATCTGCTAGGAATTGCAAGCCGCAGAAATCAGAAGTTGGTTGCTTTAGTTCGTTAATAGTGTTGAGAAGTGTTTGAATTCTTACAATCTCTTTTTGAAAATCAATTGAAAGATTAAACGATTATTCTTTAGATTTTTAAATTTAGAAAATATAAGTGGAATAATTCAAATTCTAATGTGCCTGATCATGGGAGACTTTTTAAGAATTAAATATGGAAATATTTATGCCGTAATACATTTTAATGAGGTGATAGATCGTTAATAGTGTGGAGAAGTATTTAAATTCCTACAACCTATTTTGAAAATTTTTATTTTTAAATTGAGAAGTTAGATGTGGAATTAAATTTCGATTATATGCTTAAGCTCTTTACTAACTATGATATGTCAATTTAGGTGAAATAATAGCTTATATATCTCTCCCCCTTTCTGCAGTCCTCACTAACTGGACAGATGGACAAATTTGCATTGGAGCGCAGCTCTTATCTGAGCAATGCGGCAGCGGCAGGTACTCAGGCGAGTGCTGCTTACAGCGCCTACTTGGATCCCAGTGTGCTAACCAAGGCGTATTTTGATTCGAAAATGTACCAGGATCGAGCCGCGAACTATGCCTTCGACATATCCAAGATCTATGGGGCCCAGCAGCATGTGGCGGCGCATCAGCAGCAGCAACAGCACCTGCTCAATGGCTTGGGCATGGCCAGTGTGGCGAGCAGCAGCAGCGGTGGCAGCAACAACAACAGCACCGCCACCCATGCCAGCAGCAGCCACAACAACAACAGCAGCAGTGGCCTGGATGAGCGCGATGCCACGCCACAATTGGACAGCGTTGAGGCAAAGCCGCATCTACACTCGCCGAGCGATGCGCAGCTGGAATATGCTCAGTATGCCCAACAATATGGCGGTCAGTTGGTGGGTGCCGCAGCAGCCGGTGGTGCTGCAATTGGCAGTGCGGCTGGTGGTGGCGGTGGTGGTGGGGCTGGTGGTGCTGCCGGCGGCGCTGACTTCAGGCGACCGCTGACAGTCATCTTCTGACCACCATCCAATGAGAGCGAGGAGTTGAACTTATCTATGACGCATTAGCATCCAAAACACGGCCTAGTTTAAATCAATAGAACTTAGCACAAAACGCGAGATTAATGTTAATTGTAGCCAACGTACAGTTAAGTCGATAACAAACGATAACAATATAATTACAGTTGTAAACTAATTCGTAAGCTTTGTTAAAAGAACAGCTGGAATGGAGCAGCTGCAGGCGACGAAGAATATGTGGAGCGGAACGGAGCGAAGTGGGTGGAATGGAATGGAATGAAACAGAAAGAGGAGCTTTGGAAGTAAAAGACAACGAGTGGTGCAATTTTGTATGTTTTAAGCTGCTGCTACTTAGATGGGGTGTTAAAGAAATCACATGAAGATCTGATCGAAGGGCGGCGAAGTGCATAGCATAAATTTAATGTATTTAATTCTACACACAAAGACATCCAAACACACACACACACACGCATGCAAAAGCATATATAAAATGCAAATCAAAAGTGCATAAATACAATGCGTATTGTCATAATGAATTAAAGTATTTTCATTTCCCCACTCCTTTGCATTATTTGTTCTTTTTCCTTAGATGCAGCTGCATTTTCTTAATTGGAAACAGACGATGCAACCAAAACGGGAAACAAAAGCAAAGCCAAAAAGTTTCGCCCTCAATTTGTTTTCTAATTAATTGCAAGCAATGCCAAAGCGAGTAGGTGGGTCGGAAAGGGGGGAAGTGGGGAAGAGGGGTCGCTGGGACTTGCCAAAAGTCAAGTGCGCGCAACTGCTAAACGATTCTTAATGAAGTCAACAAGAAAGAGAACACCGTTGGCCAATCAGCATCAGCTCGATGGCATATTTAACTTTTGACTGTTCAAGCAGGCGCACATGAAAACTCAAGCGAAGGCCACTAATTAGTGCGACCCCAAGAAGTGGCAAGAATAAACCATAATTCCGCAAATTAAATTAATTTTATGCGCTTTTGAGCGGCCGGGGTGCACTTACCGTTAATTGGTTCAAAAACTGGTTACCTATCCGTAAATTGTTTTCATCTCCACGACGACTTGTATGCCTATAAGAAAACCGAAGAACGAGTTAAATTATAAGGAAGTATAGTGTTGAAATTTTTTATTGCTTATATGTTTTATATTTATTTATTTACATTTACATTTTGTGTTTAGCATTGCCAGTCGAGAACCGATAACCGACCTTTGCGACTATCGAAAAGCGTTGCCACTAGATAACTTCAGAAACTACCGCTAGAGTGAATTCAAACCAATACCCTTATTATTAGAACATGCGCAGGAATAGATTCAACATTTTAGCTGCGCCACCTACCGGAATAGCAAGCAACTTTTGCCGACGCTCTTTCACGGTGCTTGTCTTCGCTCGAATTAATGAAAATAGTCTAAATAAACACGATGGCGCCATTATAGAATTAAGCTTTTCTTGATTTTGTTCGTTGCACAAGCCGCTGAGTTTTTTTTTGTTATTATATGAAAAATTGAATTTTTCAATCATTTCTAACTTATTCGTTTTAAAATGGTGTTCCACACTATATCGCCTGTCACAATTAATATTATAATTATAAGTAAGTATTATATTATAAATATCACACATTATAGTATTTTTACCAGATTTAAGTGTGTGCTTTAATTTAGAACTGATTTCGAAGCACATGATATACATATTTGGCATATTATTTTATTTTATGGTTCTTCTATCGTTCGTTTCAAGCATTAAAACAATTTTTAGTTCGAAATTTGTTATTCAATTATTAGTTTTGAATAGATTTTAGTTCTTATTATTAAGTATTTGAATTTGGCGCATAAAATGATTAATTATGCAGGTTGTCAGTAGACTTCGAGACTAAAACTTAGTAAGCCGTTAATATTTTCTGAATTCCGGACTCACATGAAATTCAAAATTTATTGTCCCCATTTAACGAGTTTCGAAAAGAAAAGCCATAGCATGGGAAAATCACTATTGGGTGCTGGATCCGTGGATTCGTCATATAGATACGCCCAATTCTTATTGAAGGTAAGAACTTGTTCGGTTAATTAAGTTTCTGACAGAGCAACAATTTAAAGTAGCTGACATAGCGTGCGTCTCAAGTATTCTGTAGCCGAAAGTTTTCGTCCTTGAAGGATGAGTTGGTGAAGAAAATACCGCAGGAACGAGAGCGCATGCTAGGCATTAAGTGTCTGCACGGCAATAAAACACTCGGCGACATTAAAATAGCCAATGTAAGTGTGAAAAGTGAAATCGATTAAAAGATGGGGCGAGACAGATAAAAAGGTCAACCCACTGAGCAGGTGATGGGGGGACTGCGTGGCCTGCCGCTGTTGATGTGTGATACTTCGTATGTGGACGCCCTGAATGGCATATTCTATCGTGGCATTATGCTGAAGGATGTTGTCAAAAAACTGCCACGCAGCGAGGGCGGCAAGGAGGGTACACCAGAGGGTGCCTTTTGGTTGCTGACTCTCGGTAATATGCCCACAAAGGATCAGGCGCAAAGCATCACCTGTGAGTGGAATGAGCGCGGCAAGCTGCCAGACTATGTTACCAAGCTGCTCGACTCCATGGACAAAAAGATACATCCCATGGCGCAATTCATTGCGGCCATCGCCTGCCTCAATCCAGAGAGCCAGTTCGTCAAGGCCTACAACAAGGGAGCCAAGAAGCCCAAATATTGGGAGTACATTTATGAGGACTCGATGAACCTCTGCGCCTACCTCATCTCAGTTGCGGCCATCATTTACGGAAATGTTTTCAAGGAGGGGAAGGGCGAACGCAAGCTGGACGGCAACTTGGACTGGTCGGGCAACTTTTGCAAGATGCTTGGCTTCGATGACAAGAACTTCTTCGATCTAATGCGTCTGTATTTGGTGCTGCACGCTGACCACGAGGGCGGTAACGTTTCGGCGCACACCACCCACTTGGTGGGGTCTGCGCTCAGCGATCCGTATTTGTCTTTTTCTGCCGCCATGTGCGGACTGGCAGGACCTTTGCATGGCTTGGCCAACCAGGAGGTGCTGGTTTGGCTAACCGATTTGAAGAAAACGATCGGTGAAGATCCCAAAGACGATGAGATTATCAAGTTCGTGAACGATACTCTGGCCTCTGGGCGTGTAAGTTGCACCGCGACCTGTGCCCCTAATTTCCACATACATACTTATATTTCGCTTCTAGGTGGTACCTGGTTATGGTCATGCCGTGTTGCGGGACACAGATCCACGCTTCGTACTGCAGAACGAATTCGCGATGAAAAACTGCAAGGACGATGTGAATGTCAAACTGGTGACCCGTCTGTGGAAACTTATACCAGACATACTGAAGAAGCTCGGAAAAGTGTCCAATCCCTATCCGAATGTCGATGCACATTCTGGCGTCCTCCTGCAACACTATTGCCTGCGAGAAAGCCAATTCTACACCGTACTGTTCGGCGTCTCAAGAGCTCTGGGCGTTCTAGCGCAACTCATTTGGGCCCGTGCCCTCGGAGCGCCCCTTGAGCGCCCAAAATCGTTCACCACCTCGTTCCTTTGCCAATACATTAACGAGCAGGAGAAGAAAAACGAGAAGAAGTAAATGGTAGCGAAGCAAATGGTATAATATATATTCAGTTGATCCTACAATCCGATCCCAGTGGTATATATATTGGCAGCACTACTATCACTGTATTTAAGCAGAATTGTAATTGCCTTTGTGACCAAACTCTAATAAAAGTTTAAAACAATTCTTTGTACAAAATGCGTGGAAAGCTTTTTCTCAATTATTGGAAGTTAACACGCCCCTCAAAACCTTGCTTATATTCCTTGATAACTGCATATCAAATTCTTCGCCCTTTTGCAATTTGAAGATGTTTGAAGAATATAGAGTGGTCTGTTTATCTCTAAAAGTACGAAGCTTAAATATTTGTATATATAGAAAATATTTTTTTCACTTAATATTCAAATTTTACATTTCGTTTATATAATTCCACAAAAAGTTAGTATAAGTTTTCTTCAATGGCATAAAAAAATGCTTTCAAAGTTATCATAAAATTTAATAAGTGTCCAACCTAGCACTGATCTTAAATAAACATTAAATAAAAAAAAATTAATAGAACTTTTATCCAAAAACGTGTCATATCTTGGTATAGATCGACAGAACACTTACGATACGCAAACAGATCGACACCAAATGAGTGACTATAAAGAATATAAAGTATTATTATACTAACTAGTATAACACCACTATAACTGACCAAATATGGCTGTGAATTGGGACAAAGCTGGCCAAATGGCAAATAAAATTAATAAACTTTAATGTAAAGTTTCTTCTTAGGCTTTGTTATCTTTTAAGTTTAAATGAGAACGTAATATGAAAACATATCTTTATTTTAATTTATAATATATATAATATGCAATATGTACCAGTATTGTAATAATTGTATTAGAAGGTATCGACAGCACTAATTGTTGATTTCTTAAATAAAAAGAAAACAAAAAATAAATACCAGAATCAACAAAAATCACGGAAAATCGAACATGTTCTAAGAGGCTACTACACTTGCATTAAAGTATTTCCAATTTTGTATACTCGTACACATTAACACATTCAAAAATTAACTGCTAATACCTGTTTAAAAGAATTTCAAAACACAAAACAATCACTACCGAAACATTTTGTTCATCTTCAAACTCATAGTATTACTTATAATTATAATAGAGGCCTGGTTTGGAATGCTCTTTTTTTATAGAAGCTATATCATAATTATTAAAATTAATGTGAAAATATTATAATTGAAGCATTGGCGAACTTATTATAAATATAATCTTATAGGGTGCAGCCTTCTACCGTTATTTGAAAACACAAATCACGATTAAGGAGTGTTGCTGCAAAACTTTCCCACATGCATGCAAATTATGGAGCAGTGGAGAGAGCGAGAGCGTGGGAGCGAGGGAGAGAGAACCATAAATTATGGCAGCTAAATGTGCAAACAATGCTCCAAAGGCATGGACTCGCTCGCACCTTCCAGAGAGCAGTTAAAAGTGCTCAAAAATGGCCAAAACGTTGACCCTCCGCCATCCTCAAGTTGTAAACGTTTGCCACAAACTAGCACCAGTTTTGGCAACTGCCAACGGAATTGGACGCCCATTGTCCGCTCCGTGTGCGCCACAGACCGATGAGAATAATAGAGGCCACCATAATGTGCCATTATGCGAAAACAAATGGCTATGGCTGTGCATAGTGTGGCTGTTAGATGATAACGAGCTGAGCACCGGCAGCAAAAACACTCGCAGAAAAATGTTTACTTTTTTTTTTTTCAACTACACGAGGACTTTAAGGTCGTTTTGCTAAATCATTTTTTTGAATATTGGAATATTTTTTGAGTATGCAGGAATCACTTATCGAATTATACTGAATTGTATTTTAAGTTCTATTTGTTTGCTTCATGGAAAAAGTTTAAGCACAAAATTGGCGCGTTCGAGATATTAAATATTATAATAAATAGCACTAGAGATTGGCATGGGATGACATTTTTAGGACCATAACAAATATTGCTTTTTCAATCGAACCATTTATAGAATGTGGAAATATATTTATAGCATGTACATACATACATTTACTATACATACATCAAAATTTTTGTCACTCAGTTTTCCATGAAGGCACTAAGTACAAAGTCTTTTAGAATTTCATATAAATTTAGCAAAAGTGTAGGGATCATAAAATATATAGATATATATAATGTATACTTGTATTTGCGAAATATTAATTTAAACATTATTATTTTATACAAACACATGTTTATTTATTTATTGCAGCTTTTTATTAAATGCGAAATTTATGTGTAATGTTTACATATGGATAATTAGTCTAATATTTAGAATAAGTTTCAGATATACAGGTATGTGCAGAAAACTCAAATAATGCAAAGCATTTTCTTTGTGCGTTTTAATATTTCTTTATTTTCTATGGACTATCTCCTAGAAAAATGTATTCTACCTCTGAGTGCTCATATCAAGTGCCATCGTTATACGTCTATTCTAAAGAAAGGTTGTTGTTGTTTTCAGCACACATGGGCACAATTAGGTAACTGTACAAAAACATATGGACCCCTCTCCGCCCTAGCAATTAATTGTTGCTTTTATATATTTATAATTTGTTTATTATTATGAAAAAAAAAAGAAACAAACAACAACGATTTTCAACTAATGATCACATGCTCTGGCTTGCGAATAGATTCATTTTCCTCCCAAATAAGAACTCTAATATTTTGTCAGTTTCTCTGAGTGAAAACTGCATACTCGCATGTCTACATATGTACGAGTATGTATTGTTTGTATGTAACTATTGTCTGCTTCATAAACGGCCACCAGTTGCTGTTGCTCCTGCTGTTGCTGCTGCTGCTGTTGTCAGCAATTCAATTTTGTTCAATCTTTTTTTTTTGTGCCACACAATAACTTAAGTGGGCGGCCAATTGAAATGCAACCCACAAGACCTTATAAACAAGAAAAATAAAACGAAGCAGCGTGCAGAGCACCATTGAGAATGCTTCTAAGCAGGCGTTCGCGCCATCCGTTTCCCACACGACCACAAGCATTGTGTACGCTATTGGCCAAAAAGATGCATGTGTGTGTCTCTTTATGTGTGTGGGTGGGTGTGTGTGCGTAGCTCGACATGCGCGCATCGACTGAGGCTGGCTGCTGGAATGGGCGCCATTTTTATTGCCAGCTTTTGGGGAGCTGGGGCCATCAACATATTATTGCCTGAACGCCAATGCCACCGACTGCGTTTCCTTTTTGCCGCTAGACAATGAGAGCCAAGCACACACACACACACACACACACACACACACAAGCACACGTACACACAAGAGTTAACAGTGAGTTGGAGTGGGGAGCGTGTTTTTTGAAAGTCTACACTGCCTGGTGTTGGAGAGCAGCGCCTGCGCTCTAGCGCTTTTTTTGGCGCGAACATTTTAAATCCTATTGAATAAAAATAAAAAAAAAGCATTCAGTCATATGTATAATGCTGCTCATTTATGCGGCATGTTGTGGATTAGGAAATCGTTTGGCATTTATGACAACAATTATACAGAATTTGCAGAATATCTCATCAAATCTATCGACCCCAGTGACAAATTTCCTGTTCAAATTATTGGGCGAAACAATGAAGGCAATTCACGCGACTTAGGCGACATACGACCCCAAAGTCCAGAGCAGAGATTACAGCTGAGCGCGTGAGTAAAAAAAAAATGCCGGCAAGATCACGACAATGCACGAACAACATTTTTAACGAACTATAAGTACAAGGAATTTTTTAATTACGTCATTATTGAAGTTTGTGCATTCTATTACCTTTTTCGACAATATATACAACATATACTATACTAGTGAAATAATTTTTCATTAGAATATATATATGTAGTGGAACGTCTAAGAATTTAAATATATATTTCAATATTTGGTACCTCAGTGAGTACTGTTCTAATCAAAAGGTAGCCTTGTTTAAAATCTTTAATCTTTTTTTCGGCGTGATTCAAACCGAGTACCTAATGGGTTTCTGCTAGCTTGGAAACTGCTTCAAAAGTCTTCATTTAAAATAATACAAATTTTTCTACAAATTATGTATTTACATGTCCGACCATGGCTCAAATTAGATCATCTTTTATTTATTATTTTTATACCCTGTACCCAAAGGGTACAAGGGTATATTAGTTTTGTGCGAGTGCACATGGAACACACAGAAGGAGGCTTGGTAGACCCCACAAAGTATATATATTCTTGATCAGCATGACAAGCCGAGTCGATATAGCCATGTCCGTCTGTCCGTCTGACCGTCTGTCCGTCTGTCTGTCTGTCTGTCTGTCTGTATGAACGCAAGGATCTCCGAAAGTATAAGAGCTAGAATAACCAAACTTGGTAAACAGATTCTCCTGAGACCGAGAAAGGACGAGTTTGTTCATTTTTTCTGATCCACCCCCCCACTCCCACCCAATTACCGATTTTCTATAACTCCCGTAATTCTTGGAATTTTGAACTAAAATTTGGTAGTCATATTAGGTTAGTTATTATATAACCGTATACCAATTCTTATTATGATAGAATGATCGGAAAGAAAGTTATAGCCATATAACCAGGCCCAATGCACACATACATACATATGTACAAGTACACAAACACGCATAAGGCACGATTCTGATGTAAATGTAAATGTATGTATGCATGCATGGAATATTTTATATTTAATTTAGTTAATTAATTAAATTAATTTAGTTAATTATTTAAATTAAATTAATTAATTAATTTAAATACTTTTTTATGGGGTGGTACAGGGTATTTAAGAGTTGAGCCTGCTCGACTTTAGCATTCCTTTCTTGTTATATATATATATATATTTTTTTTTTGGTGGAGATGCTCTCCGATTTGCCCTTTTTGTTTCACATCATATAAGTTTGTGTAAAGTCACAAGTTGACATGTTAAGGAACTTTTTAGCCACTCACGATTCACGCACAACTCAAGCGGACACACATGCACGGGCAAATTTTGTACAATTTTGAAGTACACGTGCTTGTCGATCAGCGATCGATTGCAGCACAAACAAGAGAAAACATTTGCAGGGGTTCAAACGGTAACGAGATAACGAGTGCAACAAATTTATTTATTTGTTTCGTTTTTACAAGCCAGGCAGCAATAAAAACAACAGCAACACCAAATCAAAAATTTGTGCAAGATAATAATATAACGACATATCTACATACATACATATAAACAAGTAAGTGCGTACCATTTATGAGAAGAAACCCGAAGACTGCAAGGCAAAAGGCGCAAACACAACGAAGAGGACGAAACGCAAAAAGACAAACAAAGCCCAAACGCTGATCAAACAGAGAGAGAGAGAGAGACAGAGAGAGAGAGAGAGGGAGACATACGCACGCAAACAATCAAACAACAGACATCAGCATAAGACAATCGCCAACAAACACACTCACACACACAAACACACACACTCGTACGCACACTTGAGTGTCGTAAAAAAACTAACCGAGAGCAAAAAAAAAGTTTATCACTTAGCCGACACGTTGACGAAGCGAGCGACGCGCGTCCTACGCGTTTTGTGAAAGAAGTCTACACAGCGGCGTGCTCTCGCTCGCTCTCTCCCACCGCCACTTGCCGGCTCGCTTGCTCCTTTGCAGCAACTACAAAAGGTAGAAGTGTCGCGCGCGCGCCGCCAACAACAACAACAGCAACAGCAACATCAGCAGCAGCAGCAGCAACAGTAACGATAACAACAACAACAGCAACGACAATGCTAACAACACACTACAGCGAGCAGCAAGCAAGCAAGCACAAGCAACCCAACCAACCACTACAAAAACATTTTTGTTGCCCCGTTTTTTGTTCTGCCAACTGTGTCGCAAGTTTTCGAATGCCACATAGAAATTTCAAATCAAAATTGTCGCGCACACGGCACGGACGCACTTTTGCCAGCAGCTCCTGCTCTCCCGACTGCCGTTCCGTACCTTCTGCATTGTCGTTCCGGTCATTGTCGCGCTTCTTTGACTTGTGCTTGCCACTCAAATAACAGTGAACATAATACCTACAGCTACTATCCTGTACATAGTTCAGATTTCTGCAGATGCTTATCAAATGTGCGATTGACAAAAGTGTGAAATAAATAATGGAAATTCAAAATATTCAAGTTATCTATTAAATTAATGTAGTTAAAAAAAGTACATTTAAAAAAAAGAAAAATTGTATTATTTACAAGCGAAAACAAAGTTTGTTATTAAAAAAGTTCAGCTACTGGAGTAATATATCAATAAATATAGGTGAGAATTTGAAAACTTTATTACTAGATCATTTAATATTGGTAGAAACTATTAAAAGTAGAACATCAAAACAACTTTAAATAATTATTTTATGCTTAAATTTTTTTTAAATCTGTATAATTCTATAGAAAGCAATCATTTCAAACGCGGCACAAGAATTATATTCTGAGTGCAAAAGGCACAGGTGCCAATTAATTACCCAATTTTGTCGGACTTTTTCAATTTCAAGAGCAAGTCATCAATATATGAAGTGAAAACCTAATCATTTTGATTTAGCTGAAAAAGGCATTTTAAATTATATATTTTTGATATTCATTAATGTTAAGAAATGTAACATTCCACAAGCACGCTACGGATTTAACATTTTCCGGCTAAAGAGCATTTTGTCCATCTATCAATATAGTATGAGAAAAAAAGTTAAAAGTATTTAAAGGAACAGGCTTTAGTATCCACGAACAATTTTAATCAATATTTTAACAAAACAGGAATTAGTTCAAAATAGTTCATTATTTAAAAAACATTTATAACGGAAGTTTTAACAATTTTCAATGTATTTTTTACTTTTTTTCGTATATTGCAACTATAGTTGATTGTGCTCTGTAGATCGCCTAATTCGTAATTTATTTTAAATTATAATACTTTCTGGCATACAATAATGTTGTTTGTTATCGCACTTGCTCTATTAATGTTTGCACTATTTAGTTTATTTGCTTAAAAGGTTCGTTCAAATACAAACAACTGTATTGTACAACAAAAAAATTTATGTAACTTTTATTACTTTAATGGGAATTTGATATATAAAATATATAATATAATATATATGTAAATATAAATATAGCATTCCCAAACTAATCATAAGTGCTTGTTAATGCAGTCATTATCAACCATATCTCAGATGAAAAATCATAGAAAGTAAAAAGATCGAGACGTCATTTAAATGCTAGGTCAGTGCTCCATAAAGCTGGCTGATAATACGGTTCTAAAATGTTTAATGATTCGTGAAATATATAGGACTATACTTAGTGAGAAGATAAATATTTCAACAAACATATTTTGTATACTTGTAATTCTTTTTATTATTATTACTAGTCTAGGGACTGGAAAAATATATAAGTGATAAGGACATAGCTATGCTAACAATAGGATACTGCCAACGTACAAGTCTGGACATGACAGAAGACGAATTGAACTCAGTGCGATCTCAAAAACTATTTATTTATTTATTTATCGACAAACAGAGCTGTCGATGTGAGAAAAAAAAGATCAAAACAATACAGAACTTATACTAAATAAAACTAAAGAAAAACAAAGGCTACAGACATAACTAGAATTTCTAATGTCGAATCCGACTCGGTGGGGGAATTTTATTTGCCAAACGGCCAGATATACTTGTACAGATCCATTCAATCGCCCAATTATCGTCCACGACGATCGACAAAAGCAAGTTCAATTCCGATATCAAATTATTAATATCGAAAAAAACGACAAAATGAATAATTGGTTTATAATTTGCATACAAATATATTTGAGCAGGCTCAATTGCTTTTATTCGTTTCCTTTTTCATATATTTATTAATATCTTTGTTCACCCTGAGTCATATGCATGAATATTGAACTGGTATTCCCCTATTTTAAAATCATGAATTAGAATTTGGATTCAAAGTTCACCAAATGGAATGCATAAATGAATGAAGACCTCTTTAATAAACACTTTATGATTCATGCCAAACAATATTTGCGAAGCGACAACATTGAAAGAAACGTGGTTCTGTTTATTTTGCAGTGCGAAGCCATCGCCAACGCATTACGCTCTAAGTCAGCCCCAGGCCCACCGAATTCAGCCCATTATGACCAGCATTTCGGCGCTGTTGCAACGAAATGGTGGAGGTGGCGGCGGAGGTGCAGGTGGAAGTGGTGGTATTAGTGTCCACCATCCTCATCATCAGCACCACAGCAGCAATGGGTACACCAGCAGCGGTAGCAGCAGCCATAGCCACAGTAGTAGTCTGTCGCCACAGTTGCCCGGTGTTTCGTCCACAACGCCACCACCGCCGCCATTGTCGGCCCCAAAACAGCAACAACAACAACAGCAGCAGATGCAGCAGCAACATGGCAGCAGCTCCAATCATACCGTCGGCGGGTCTGGTGACCACATTAAACGACCAATGAATGCGTTCATGGTATGGTCCCGTGGTCAGCGTCGCAAAATGGCGCAGGACAATCCGAAAATGCACAATTCAGAGATATCCAAGCGCTTGGGGGCCGAATGGAAATTACTCACAGAGGGACAAAAAAGGCCATTCATTGACGAGGCGAAGCGTTTGCGGTGAGTAGAGGAAGTTAACAATATGTGTGAGGAAGTTGGGGTGCGACAACGGGATGGAAAAGCATTTTCATCGATTAGCTAAGACAAAGCCCTTCTATTGTCCGTGTGTACGTACTGGATGACATTGTAAAGCTTATGCTTCAAACCTTATTTCCTAGCTCATATCTTGCGTAAACAGTTCACGAGAAATGTTGCACTGGAATTGTGACTAATGTCTATACAGTGGTCCAGACTAATTTTAATTGCATTGTTGCAATCTTGTTTTGAACATCTGTAATATACTTATTATTCGTACATATAGTACATGCATGCGTCATGACTTCTGCTTTGCACACAGCGATTAATGAACAAAATCGAAGAGAACCAAGATATTTGCAGAAATTTGTAGCAATATAAACGTGTAGGGGAGAGAATGAGAAACCCTAAAAACCTAGCAATAATTTTGTTAGTATTATGCACGGATTATGGTAATACAATTTTGTAATTGAAGAGGGTTTGTCTTAGAGGGGACGAGAACTAATATTTCTTTTCAATTTTGATGTCACAGCAATATTTGAGATATTAGCACTAGAGCTATACGAATTGATCAACCTTATTAATTATTAATTTTTCGATTTCTGTTGCCTTTTAATGTCAATTGCACTTTTAAATAAGATGAAACATTTCATTTCTTAAAAGAAAATTTTTTAAAAATGACAAAAAAAATTAATTTTCCTTCCTTTTTCCAATTTAAATTTTCTTTTATTTCAAGATGAATTAGACTGTAAGCTTTAAACTTAATATTCCATTTCCTAAAGCAATTGAAAAAGAAATTAGCTTGGGCACCTCTTATTTGACTCCAAGTATTTAAATCGAAATTTAATATTTTCCAAGCAAACCTAAACATTTTTGTAAAGAACAATAATATATTATATAAAAAGATAACTCTCCAACAAAAACCTATGAATTATAAATACCAGTTCTAAACTGTTTCGAAAATTGAACTGCAACTATGCGAATTTTGACAATAGCTTCAGGGAACAATACATTTTGCGACAATAACTCTAATTGCTGGTACCAATGTAATTTACTTGAACGCTTCAATTTCGTATATTGTGGGACCACAGTACAAGTATGTTGTTTTTTTTTCCAACACCCTCCACCGACTGTTAGAATAGTAGCTTTACAGTTTATATGACTGCCTGTCATAATCCCTTTATTGATTGTTCTAGCACTGTATTGACTGTTGAGAAATTGAAGAATTGAAAAATTCGCGCTGACATTTATTAATGACTTCTATAGTTTCGCCTCTGCAGACCAATGACAATTGAGCTTCAAAAAAATAAAATTTGACAAAACAAAGTCACACAAAAAATGCCTAAGTAAATATTTGCCAATGTATGTACATACATTGTATGTGTGTGTGTGTGTGTGTGTGTGTGTGTGTGTGTGTGTGTGTGTGTGTGTGTATGTGTATGCATTGATAAGGCCCGAAGAAATCATCGCCAAGCAAGCTGACGCACTTTTGCAACTGCCACATAATTCGGGCTGCTTTATTTACACCAGGCAGAGTGCGATAAGACGCTGACCAATTAGAGGGTAGCTGCCTTTGAATGCTCAACAAAGAGTTCAAACAAACGCAATTGTTCCTGCTTTTAAATTTATGATAAAAGGTGCGATCGTTACTTGCGCCGAGAGACCCACGCAGAGACCGGCGCGCCGGCGATAATGTCTGTCTTGCCAAATACCCGATAAGACGTCGAAGAGTGTTTGCCACAATCACTTTTCAGCGATCCACAGTCAAAGGCGATCAATGTGTTTATTGTGTGTGTTTTATGGTGCAGCCTTTGAGGCACAACCTTTTTATTACTGCCCTGCAAACCCGTTCATTTTCTTATGATATCAGCTCGCGATCGTTCAATAACTTGTTGATCTTCATCGACACCTGAAGATGTGACACTTTCCATCTTACTGGTTCAAAGAGTTAGTTTTAGAAATGAGTCACCAACAAAGGTCACTTAAGTTAAGTCTTAAATAATAAATACTTTTTATATGATGTTTAGGTTCAAATAAAATGTCAATTCAATTCAACAAATTTAAGGTGAACTGCATCTTTTTGGATTTGTTTTCACTGCCTTTGAATCAACTACATAGCCCTTAATAACACTACAGGACACCAAACATCTCTGTTCACTTTTGACCAATCAATTATAATTGCTTCAAAAGAGATATTTATTTATTAACGCTGCTGTTGCTCCATATCAGCATTTCCTCTAAAGTGGCAACAAATAACAGCCATTTCCTTTATAATGCTTCAATCAATAGTATTTTAATTATTTAGAAAAAACATTGGTTACGAGAAATCTTAATGTATTCACTTAAATTTACCACAAATTATCCTGATTCGGGGTCGAATTTTTTAACTTAAAATTAGCATTTTGGGAATCCGTTTTATTTGCATTGTTTTAATAGAAGGCTTTTGTTGATTTTCTAAACGGGATATTAAATGTAAAAAAATACACATTCCACCCCAACCTCATCCAAATAAAAGACTTAAAACATTACTTCAGATTTAGAATGATCTTTCATGCATTTATAAATGTGTATAATCTTAGGATAGAGTACTAAAGTACTTATAAATTTTTCAAAGCTGTCTTTCGATTTGCCTTGTAATGTAAAAAAGAGTAATGGCTTCTACTAATCCTCAATTCAAAATAGTTCAATTAAATTACAGAAATAATACTAAGTATATGATCACTTGGAGCTTCACATGGGCTTAAAACACTGGTTCTATTTATTCGACTTGAACGCACAACTCTTGGTATCAAGCAATTGATTTTCCCAATGTTTACTCAATTTACAGCGCGCTGCATATGAAAGAGCACCCCGACTATAAATATCGGCCGCGTCGCAAGCCGAAGACGCTCAACAAGTCACCAGTGCCGGGTACTGGGCACAGCAGTGGAACAGGCGGTGGTGGAGGAGGCGGCAACACTCATCATGGCAGTCAGAAGGAATCAGCGCTGCAGCAGCAACAGCAATCGCCACATCTTGCCTCGCATCTGTCCCATCATCATGCCCATGCTCATGCCCATCCGCACCATCATCATCATGCCCAGCTGGGTGCCGCGGCTGCAGCCGCCGCCGCCGCAGCCGCTGCTGCCTCCCACTCCCCCACACTGGCCGCCAAATACGGTTTTGGCACGCCGTTGGAACTATCGCTCAGTATGCCCGCCGCTAGTCGCGTTCCCACGGCCTTTCCCGCCCTCGCCCACTACCCGCTAGATCCGACGCTGGCGCTGGACTTACAGGCGCGCCTGCAGGCCATGTATGCGGGCAGCATTTACCATCCATGGCGTTACTTTGGCTGCACACCGCTAATCAGTCCCGAGACCCCACCATCACCGCCCAGCAGCAGCGGCACAGGCATCTCCTCCTATGGCTGCGTCAAATCGGAAAAGTCGTCGCCCACGCTAACCACGTCCGCCACGGCTCCGCCCAACATCATTTGACCTACTCCGTTGCGCTACGGTCCAAGTGCCGAGCATGCAGTCGTCTAGGATCCCATCCGATCGGGCCACATCATCCATCTACTGTACTACTAGCCTTTAGTTGTAGCTGAATCTTTGAGAGTTTGTGCACTTTAGTCGCTTCTTTTTATTTCACTATACTTTTGAAGCTTTTTTTCCCCACACTTATCGCTGTAAGTACTTTGATAAAGCCAAGTGTTGCATTTAATTAAATTTAAAGCTCATCAAAAATGTATTTAAATTTACTTTTTGAATTGTAATGAGAACAAGCAATAATAATAGCACAAAGGAGATTTAAAGATATTACCAATACTTATAGTATTATAACCAAGAGCATTAGAAAATTTAATTATTTCCTTCTTAAATGAAAAATTTCCCGAATATAGAAAATGATTTAAACATTTTAAAGTTAAAGAATATATTATTAGAATGCCCTTGACTTATTGGCAAGGAAATGCAAATGCACTTGATTTTATCAAAGTATTTATTATCGAACATTGTTAATTTGTAGTGATTTTTAAATGACTTGTTAAGCAGCCACAACTGATTTCCACCCATTGAAAAAGTGTGTGTGTGTATGTATTTGTAATATAGTTACTATCTACATATATTTTAATGTGATACAAAACAAATAAACGATTTTTAAACATCAAACGCTTCACTGATTGATGGCAACACTTGTAAGCGCTCGCTACACCCAAAACCCAAACATCGAAAAACCCATATACACTCACACCCTGGGCCATACACTCGACCCCGCCACCCTGGTGGCAACGCAAATTCACGCCTTCACAAATCTGTTAGCAGTCACATTCCAACTGTTGTTGGCGGACCGGAGGGCTAACGTTGAATAATAACGACAATGTTTGCTGATGCGTTGATTATTAGTTTAAATTGCTGGCCATAGCCATAGGGTGGCAAATGCGCCAGCCATCCAGAAGGGTGTTTGGCTTGCCTAATAGAGACAGACAGCGGTGAGTTCGCTTAACCGTTACAAATTTGATTCTCAACGCCCACTTGTCTCTGAAGCCAACTGTGAATTGTGAATTTGATTGCAGCGCGCTTATAAGTCGGCAATGCAAAAAACAAACAAAAAAGAAACAACAACAACAACAACAACAATTGACACTAGCGCTGTTCTCACACAAAACAAAGCACAACAATAGCAACAACAATCAGAGAACAACACACCCAACTCTCGTAGTTATAAATGCGCCAAAAAGCCGCACATAAAAGTCACACAAATGCCACGCTGCAGCGCAACCAAAATGCTGATAAGAAAGCAAAGAACGACCTCAGCCCCGTAACGAAGACACTTCGCACTCCGCTCCCCACCCCCCAGCACCCACTACCCACAACACACGCCACCCAGAGACAGACCAAAAAATCATGCACACCCCAAAGAAAGAGAGAGCAAAGCATATAGAGGGCGAGAGGAGGTCGCACGTCTGCCGCCGTTGCCGCAAGGTCGTTTTTATAGTGACTGGGCCGCAATAAACGCCAACCAGCTACTGTTTTGTCTCACTGTCTAGGTCTGACACTGGACCGCCCGCTGCCTCATAATGTCTATATTTGAACTACACACAATGCGGGAAGAAGTGAACGCTTCTTCACGAAATCACTTGTGCCAAATGTTACAACAATATTTGTACAATAAAGTCGTCGACTGTGGAGAAGTGGTTATGACTTGATGGCCACAGAGGACAGAGCGCCCTTTTCAGAAACTCAGAGTTCAAAAACCTAGAATCAAAGGAGCCATTTATTCCAAGGTAACAAAACAGTTTATAAAAATGCAATCAATATATATAAAGAAGTTCAGGGTCGGGCTTTTGAAAATTTGCGTAGAATCTTGAATAAGTTTTTTCATTTACAGATAAGCTGCTAAAAACCCTGATTAAACAATAACCAAACCAAAACTTTCAGCCACTAAAAATGATGAAATATTTTAATAATTCTTAAATATTAAATAATAAATAATTTGCTTTTAAAGTTGCTTTTACAAACATACTTTACAGTGAAGAGTATAATAAAAAAGAAGAAAACTTCCTGGCGATCGTTATTTACAAACTGCATTTATTGTGTTTTAAAAAATAAAACTAAAATAGTGTTTTTATATTGGAACTGTCGGCATACAATCAGATATACAATCAAGCATTTCTACATTTCTACATTTCCCATCAAAAGAAATTATTCCATTATTTAATTAAAAGCAATAGACAACTTTTGCTTATGAATTTGCAGATTGGCTTTTTCAGGTTATGCTTAGGGATCTTTTGAGCATCTATAGTACATCTTTAATCGTCGACACCCATTAAAAGAATTATTAAGAATTATGCGCACTCAAAAGGTAGATTTTAGTATCTCTGTTTGATCTATAGTGGAACCTTTTATAACTTGAATCTTTGGATGATCTGTAAGTCTCAGTCCCATCAACTAAATTAATTATCAGATATGCAGTCAAACACTTCTACAACTTCCATAAACAGAAATTATTCCATCCCATTACACCAATATACAACTTTCCTCTATGAATTTACAAATTGACTTTTTCAAGCCAAGCTTAAGGATCTTTTAAGTATATAGAGCTTTAATCATCCTCATCCATTATAAATAATTGTATGATCTTTAAATGATCTAAAATGGAACTTTTAATAACTTGAAACTTGGGATGTTCTATAATGGAACTTTTAATAACTTGAATCTTTGGATCATCTACTTGTATAATAGAACTTTTCATCACTCGTAGTGCCACCACCGAAATTAATTATCAAATTTAACGCATCACAGCATCTTCCGAGAGCAAAAGTCAATAGCCATCAAACTAGCCGACACGCATGCACGTGCGCCCACACCCAGAAGAAGGACACACAACAGCGACAGTCACTTGTTTCAAGACAAACAAAAACATTGGAAGCAAACGCTGCTGAAGATGTCGTGCGAGCAATACTTGTAGTCGACACCATCGCCATCACCATAACCGTAGCCATCGCCATGCCCGCACCCTTGCCCAGAGCAGCACCAACAATCGCATCAGCGACAAACGTACAAAATGAAATGAAAGTTGTTTGATTTGCTTTGTGGGCAGCTCGATGGGAGCGGGTGCGAAGTGCCTGAGAGAGGTAAGTGACAAAAGTAAGAAGTCGCCAACTCTACCCCAACCCCGTCTACAACTATGTGGCTGTTCTTTTTTCATATACCCTCACATAAAAGTCCCATGCACAAAATAATTCTTTACGAACTCAATAAAACAAGCAGAGTACTTTCTTATGTAAGAACTGAACTCTTTCTTTCCAGAACTCAACCAAAATAAACGAAACGAAAAATATCATATAAGAAAAACACGTTTCGACCAACTACAAAATTAACAACAAAGTCGCAATAAATAAATATCTAGTTTAATTATTTCATTTGTCGCCAAAAGTAAAGAATATTCATTTGATTGATATTTTATGTTGCATCGAACTTTTTGTTATAAATAAAGACTCTTACAGAATTATAAGACTGTAAGTAATTTTTTTTAATCATTCGCCTATATAGACCTATAATTTGATTAGTCAAATTTTAATTGGATTTATAAACTATTCCACATTTACATAAAACTACAAAAGCAGAGTTCCCAAGTCAGTAACTTGTTGTAAAAAATAAATTTAGAAAATGCAATTGGAATGATTATATCTTATATTATTATATTATATATGATTATATCTAGCTGGAAACTATTTCTTTTTTTTTTTTGAGATAAAACTTTAATTTTACTGTTATTATTTACAACAACCTAAATTAAACTTATAGAAATATACAAATACAGCTTAAACTAGGAGTTTAGTCTTATTTAATTATTTATTTCATTTAATTATTAATTATTTATTCTCATATTAAATAAATCTATTGGGAAGATCAGCAGGGTGTGATCTCTTCAGCCTCCTTCTTACTATTGCTGGATGAGTGGAAGTAAAACACAACTTACATCAATTAACAATTGCATACTTTTAGGATGCAATTTCCTGTTTTGCTCCTTGTGCTAATGCTATAAGTTTAATTTAAGTTGTTGTAAATAATAGCAGTATAATTAAAGCTTAACATTTATATATAGAAAGAGAAGGCTGAAGAAGTGCCATCCAAAGGATCTCTCCCGAGATCCCTTGTGTAAAATATATATATAATATCATAAAATATATTTCATATTTAATGTAAAATATTGTAAATATTCCATTGTACACACACTTAGTGAGTCCTATAGATGCATACCACATTAATTTTATAATTTTTATTAAAAAACAAAAAAATAAAAAAACACATATGTATATATAAAACTATATATATAACTCTTAGCAGGAATCCAAGGTTGTTGAGCTATGCCAGGCGCCTAAATATTATTGAATAAAAGGTTTATAGAAATGTCTTTTTTCTAGACACTCGGTTCGAATCACGACATAAGCATGATATAGACAGTACTTTGCCGTCTTAAAATACTGTAAGATATTGGTCATTACTTGTATTTATATGAAAATGTCAAGCTGTTGTGCAGATTCTGAACATAAGAATTAGGAAAAAGAAATAAAAATGTTAATCTTTACAAATTTCGACTACAATTTAATAGCTCCTTCTGGGTGAGCAGTGTTAATAAAGTAAGGGTATTCAGATTTCGCTACAATGTAGAGTTGAGTTGACTTTTCTTGTTTTGTTTTATTTACTAGCTGGGTCGCAGTCGCCCGCCCAGTCCACTTTCCCTCCCACCCAACTTCATTCAGGACGCTCGTCGTTTTTTCTCGCTTTGCTATTTTACTCCTGGCACACTCACATCCGCTCTGATAAAAAGAAATATTTTCTTTTTGCCATGCGTTTTGCCACTTTTCTAGCTTATTTCGCACGCTGCTCCATTCCGCGCCTTTCATTATTATTATTATGATATTTTTGGGCATTTGGTTCTCTGCGCTTTTAAAGTGTCGCCCTGTCTTCGTTTGGCTTTTTGAGAAAGTGCTTGCCATTTGGAGGGCCACAAAAGTCCAGCCCATTACATAAAGGATATTGCTAACCATTAATCAATTGGGTGTCCATGGAGCAGGAAATATGCTCTCATGTATTGGACATCACAGAATTATGGCTCCCAATTTGCATCGCTCAAGAAGCTCTCTGACTCTTGAGGCTCCAAATATGTACACACGAAGAAGAACAACTTCTTATGGCCCCTGACACATAATCGCGTGTAATAAATTTTAATTTTTTAAGCATTTGTAAACAGTTTTATCAGCAAAAGTTGCCAACAAAGGCACATTTTTCAGCAAGGATGCCGAGGAGCATATAAAAATAGATTAAGTCGCACCCACGCAGCTGCGCTCGTAAAAAAGAAAAAGGGAAAAGAATATGAAAAACCCCGCCGCTCCAAAGACATTGGCAGCAAATTAGCGAGCGAGCGACGGACGCTGGGTGGCAAGATTGGTGGGAGATTTCTACTATGTCGGGGTTTATCATGCGTCTGGAATGCGCACCCAGGCACACACACACACACGCCCACTGCGTAAAAACGCCAGCAGACGGATATCCGGCGCGTGGAAGACAAACAAAAAAGGCATTAAATCGCATTTAAGTCAAACCCAAGCAAAGGCAAGGAAAGGCGACTGAAGCAAGCAAGCAAGCAAGCAACCAACCAAGAAACCAAGCCAGCAACCACCACCTACGCTCAGATTATCCTTCATTTGCTTAAGAGAGAAGCGAGAACAACGACAATGATACCACAATGACAGCCCACTTGAGAGGATATATGTACGTATCTACATATATACTCGCATGTATGTGTGTATGTAGATGCATGTATTGTGTGTCTGTGTGTGCCTTTAACGCCTGCATGTGGAAGCTTATCAATGTGGCAGCTGTATTAAAAAGGGACCAAAGACTATGGGGTATGGAAGTAAAGCAAAATAAACGTAATAGACTTATTCGTACGGTGGATATTTGCGACAATGTACAACATATCTATTAAGGTATTGAAAAGAAATTACAAATAAGTAAAACTTAGGAAAAATATATAGTTATATTATTGAATATGTACTTGAAATATACACCCAATCGTGTAAAAACAGAATTACGCGATAGATAGACGGGATCATATAACAACCTTTGATGTATTTTTTCATAAATAAATCAAAGAAACAGAATGGTTGTAGAATTTTCAGGGACTGTAATCATTATAAGTGTTATTAAAAAAATTACAAAATAATGATTATTTATTAATTTTTATTCATTCACTAAAAATTTAATAATTATTTTCAGAAATATACACGATAGATTGGTTCCTAAAAAATTCGTATAAAAAAGACATTGATCATGTGCAAAATTAATCGTGCTAAATACTTATATTAAAGTCGTGTAACCACATAAACAATTTTAATTTTCAAACCGTGTAAAAACAGAATTTGGTGTAATTAATTTAATGATTGTACTAAGTAGCCAATAGGCATTAAGTATTCTATAGTTGTGGTCGAAATCTTTCACAAATCCCTGCATTATCAAACATAATAAGCAAAAAAAGAAAAATCAAATATTATCATAGTCGGCTCTGTACTCAAGTTCTACTTATTATTATATTAATGATAAAATATTATTGTTGAGTTTTGTTCGTTTTTCGAAAGAAGAACTTCACACAAAAAAATAAACAAACAAAAAATTACACATTTAAATAAAAAAACACTAAAAAAAAAAAAATACAAAAGTTACAAAAAGTAAAAAAAAAGTATTTTTAATTTCCAGAATGTTGCAACCGATTTCCGAGAGATGGTCGCGCGCCTTACCCAATCGCAAGTCAACGGACTGCAGCAATATTTTCGCCACTGGTATTGTGCCGCCACGGGAAAGTTTTTTTCCATCGTTCGAGAGAAGCAGCAGGGATCCGCCCATGGGATTGCTGCTGGGCTGGGAGTTTGGACGCCAGTGGCTGCATGAGCGTGAGACTTACCTGCGCGACAAGCGCCTGCAAGCGAAGGAGCATCACATCGAACCAGACTTCACGTGGTGGCTGAACAAACGCAAGGTGACCAAACGACGCAAAATGTTCCACAGAAAATCCCAGGGAGCCTCTCTGGCCAACTGCAAACTAACAGCTTTTGCTTTGGCCAGAAAGAACAGACGTCTACGCGCTGAGGAGCGCAATAAGCGGGCTCTCGCTCCGAACACCGCTCACGTATCTGGCGAGAGGAGGAATTCGAAGTGTATGTGCAAGAACGGCAAACGCAAGCCTCCGGGAAAGTAATAGAAATAGGGAGAGTAAACAGAACCACCAAATCGTCTTCAGAAGAAATGTAAATGGAATTGTAACTACCTGCATAATATGCATATTTACATTGAAAAATGTAAAGTATTATAAATAAATATTAGAAAATAGTACAGCATAATACTTGTTCCCTCATTTCAATCTTCACGATTATTATTATCAATTGAACCGATTAGTGAGCAAGTTAATTGAAAAGTTATCTTAATCGGCTCAAAGAAAAGGATGGGGTTCTCAATTCGACTTTATTTTTGTTATGTTTGTTCCCTCAGAACTTTCGACTGAGTGAAGCGATTTTGATGATATAGGTGTAAAATTTTCATTGTCGTGGATATGTAAAGACTGACAGAGATGTTTAGTCCAAATAGTTTATTTTTTTGTTAAAATTGTATTTGTTATAGTTTATTACATCATTACTTTTTGAGCTATAGTCTATAAATTGTTAGGCCACACCGAGCTAACTGCCTTTCACAAGCCTGATCACGCTTAGTTTATAATCTAATACAGTTAACGCCTTGTATTAGATTTAGTTTATATGAATAAGTAAATTTTTATCTGCATTATAAAATCGTTAAATTTTTGTTTTCGATCGATGCCATTAGTGAAGCACGGTTGATAAAAGTTCTTGCAACAAATTCGAATTCAAATTACTGAAAAGTGTTGGAATGTTTTTTTTTCTCAAACAAATTAAACATTCATTCCAAAGGCTTGTCTGCTCGGTCTGCTGGTTGGGCCAAGCTTTCAATTGGAAATTAGAAGACATGGAAAATGAATCACAATTTATTATATTTCTTTGAAACCATTGTTGGAAATATTACACGATTAATAATTAGCAGGGAAAATAATTATATAAAAATAATAAAAATATTTGTTAAATTGTGAACTACAATGTGGAGATATAACTACGTTTACAGAGGCACCCATAGTGCATTCTGCACTGTAGTCCCTTCCATCTTGTAGTTCGCATAAACGTAATGGAATGTTGTAGTGAATGTCCCTGACAATTTAAATGTATAATGCAACTTACTATGCCCCATGGGCGATATGGTCGCTGCAACAAAAACAACAAATGACTCGACCAGCGGCAATTAAAGCGAGTCGAGCAGCCGGGAATGCAGCCAAGAGCAGGCGACCAGTCAACGCCATATAAAAAAAAGAAAGAAAAACAACTGAAACGCTGAACAAAGCCGACACATAAAAAAGGCTTGCTAAAGGTCCAAGGATATGCAGCTCCCACACAAAGGAGCAATTAATGCGAAATTGTCGCTTCATAATTGCTGAATATGCAACGCGAACGGCATAAAGAAGCAATTAATGTCGCACAAATGCGCTTTGCATGCATAAAAATGCGAGTCGAAGGGCTAAAGTGGAGTAACGAACACCCACACAATGTAAAGTGCAGCAAAAATAAAGAGAAAAAAAGCAGAAAGAACCAACTTGACGACCATAGAAAAAGTGTTAACAATTTGCCGATAGTCAATAGGAAAAGCCGACGTTTTCAATGCGTTCGCCAAACAATTGCAATTACATTAGAAAAGCGCAAAGTGCAGAAGAGAGCACCACCACCACCAACAACAACAACAATAACAACAATATCAAGAGCTATGTACGAGTATGTATGTATGTATCTAAGCCATGCCACCCACGTAGCGCGTTCACTTCCGTTGCATGCCAAGCACGTTGCAAATTGTCGCAACGCATCAAAAAATGGCATTGCCATCACAAAAGCATCGGCCAAACGAATTGCCAATTTAAATGTGAATAGAAAAATTGCAAGGCACCATCATCCAACCACCCACACCTCCCACCTCCCCGCCTCCCCTCCAGCCAACGCATTCAATCCTTTCACAATCGCCAATCACTCTGTCGTCGTTGTCGCCATTGCTTTCGCAAACAATGAGCGCCAAATACGTGAGAAACTTGTTTCCAGGCAGTCAGGCAGGCGGACAGGCGGGCGAGAGGGAAGGGCAGAGGCGAAGAAGCGCAAGTCCGTTAAGTCGGTCTTAATTCATTTTCTTTTTTTAAATGCCTCTACTTATAACTTCAATTCTAATCTAAAGAGCAACAGGTTTATTCAGGCAGTGTTTTTGGTCAGACAAGCAAATAATTTGTTGCAAATTCCTTCCACTTAACAAGTAAGTCATGACTTGAAGGAATTTGTTTGGAAATTTTTGTGTCTCTTTGACCGTAGTATAATTTTTGTTTTTTTTTTAGGGAAATCCAAAATTATATATAGAGGAGAATTGTTGATAGCGTCTACATATTACAATAAAAATAATAAAAATACCAAAAAAAAAAATCTTGTAATTTCTATATAAATAAAACTTTAAATTATAGAATGTTGCGTGAAAAATAAAATAGATCAAAAAAATGACATTACATTACAATTGTATTTAGATAACATTATATATATAGTATATCATATTTAAATATATATATCGCCAGTAGATGTTAAGTTTTGTAAACCTAAGTAGACTTATGTAAATAAATAAATAATATATAATATGTATTGTTAAGGTATATTGATATCGATCTAAAGAATTAATGACTAGCATACTAATTTAAAAGTAACCTAAAAGGTACTTGTCATGCTTGGATGGAGATAACAAAATAAATAAATAAATAAAATAATATTGTTTGCAAATATTCTTAGACTTAACGCTCTAGGCGTTAGATTAAATGCCTCCTGAAGTAATAAGCCAACCTGCTGCCATGGCAATTAATTTAATCTCCAACTAATATGAAGATCATTCGACCATATTTGGACCTCTACTTAATTGGCTCTAAGCGTAGGCTTGAACAATAATATTGGCTAATAAATCTTCCTCTACCGGCTCTGAGATTCTATTCTATTGACGTCTCTGACCACACTTGGCTGTAAGACGGGACACAGCTAGCCGAAAGGCTAATAATATTCCCCCACCGGGGTGGAGGTGCTTATTAGATATTATTGTAATTTGATTAGATTTCTCTAACTAAGGCTTTCCGAGCTTATAAAGTTTTTTTTCATAATTTTGATGTATTGGTTTCCTACGTCGACAGGCAATGTTTGTTGACATAAATATAAATAAGACAATGCCAGACAATCAAATGGCAAAGAGCATGCAGGCGCTGGCAAAACAATGCTCCCACTGCAGATGCAGCTCGTTATCGGAACCCAATACCGGCCAGTCATCGAACTGCCGGCAGTGCCTTAACCTAGTGCGAGTCACACAATCTGGTGACCCCGCTTGGTGCCTGACGTGCTATCGGACCTAATTGCGTAATGAGCCAGCGCTTTTTCATCTTTTGAGCAATTGATAAACATATTTTTCGCCTGCGGGGCACCGAATGATTGCAACAAAATATTTTCCTGGCAATCATCGACCCCCCAAAAAGAGATTCGCCCAGATCCGTAGGCCTAGAGCAGTGATAAAGCGGTGCTATAAATGCGCCACCGAGCAGGGCCGATCATGCAGTCACCTTCTGGTTAGTAACCAGTGCAGTACCTAGGAAAGTATCATCCAGAGAACGAGCAAGTGGCAACATGAACAAGCTGCTTTTGTGTATGACCTGCGTGGTCGGCCTGGCAGCCGCTGGGGTGCTGGATGTGCGTGTCCTGCAACAAGGACTCGGCTTGGGACGTGGCGGTAAGTTGCTGCATAGTCGTTTCTTTTCTCTATATACATGGAGATGCACTGCCTTCTATTTGCAGATGGCCAAGTCATCGAACGTATGACTCAGGAGGAATTGCAGCGCCAAAAGTTTTTGCTGGACATCTTGCATCGTGTACAGCAGCCTCTCCAGCAGATTGATCTGATTCGCCTGGACCGTGGCCTCATCGAAGACGATCAGCACTACCATGGTGGTATTGACGCCGAGATGAAACGCATCATCGAGCTGGATCGCCAACGCCGACTCCTGGATCAACATCAGATATACAGCATTCGCGATGAGCAGCACGTTCGTCAGCTGCGCGGTCTCTACCGTCTATTAGTGCGCTCGGACTGGCCCACTCTGCAGCGCAATTTGGTCTATTTGCGTCGCAACATCAATCCCGCCCTGCTCGTCAACGTGTTGTCGCTGGTGATTCGTGATCGTGCGGACACCCAATCCTTGATCATGCCAGCCATACAAGAGGTCCTGCCCCAACAATATGTGGATGAGCAGGTGGTGCAGCGTGTTCAGCACATTGGCCAACAACAGAGTGTGCAGCCCAATCTCCTGGATGTCATCGGCATGGGACAGACTACGCGTGTCGTGGATCCTGTGATGCGTCTTATGGATCGCACCCAACTGTGGATGCCCTGGCGTCAACTGCGCATGCAAATGGCTTTGAGAAGGGCTGCTCAGCAGGGTCGTTTGGGAATGAGTGGTGTAAGCGGAGTTGGAACCGGAATCGGAAGCGGAAGCGTTGTGGTGCTGCCCATGGATACTAAGGAGCAGGGAATGTCTCTACTAACAGAGGACATTGGCATGCGCAACTTTGTGCAGGGATTGGTAAATGAGTTGGCTCTGCGTGAAAAGGTGGGACACACCCAAGGCATCAGCACCAACAACGACGATGATGAGCAACAGCAGCTGGAACGCTTGGGGCAGCTTATTAGACAAAATGGCGGCCGTCTGGACATTGGCCAGCAGGGAAAACAGTTGTTTCGTTCCGGCAACGGCATCCACACAGATGACTATGAAACCGAGCTGCGCGACCAACTTCGACAACTGCGCGTTGGAAATGGCATTGGCCTGGGTATGGGTATGGATAATGAAGAGCTGTCCACTACGGACGTAAACAACAAGCGACTCCTGCGCGTCAACCGTCGCCGTCTGCAGCAAGATGAGGATGTGGAGAATCAGAACCAACGCATTGGTGGTCAACTGGACAACGAGCGTGAGCGTTTCTTGCGCGTGCTGCGACGTGACAACGATGAAGATGAGGATGAGATGAAGATGCAAATGCGTGGCGGACGTATTGGTCTAGAACGCAACATTGGACAGGGAATTGGCATGGGCATCAACCGACGCCGAGTCCAGAATAGTGATGACAACGATGATGATGATGTTTTTATTGGTGGTCGCCAAGGCATACATCGCATTAACTACGGCCGTATTAACGATGCAACTAAGGATCTGCCCACCGTAGACGTTAACAGTGATCGTCTGCTTCGCGTAGGTCGCCGTCGTCAGAACATGCTGGAACAGCAGCAGGGCAATGGCATTATGGGCATAGTTCGCGGTGACCGTTTTAGCGAGGGACGTCGTGTGGGGGAACAGAAGCAAAAGGACCAGAAAAGCATATTGGGCGACTGGATCGACTTGGACGTGATGCAGGGCATGACTCAGCAACAGCAACAGCAACAACAAGGTAAGTTGAATGTGCGCGGACAAAAGTATGGGGATGTCAAGCAGCGCCGCGAGCAGAAAGTGGAGCAACAGCATGGTGGCATCATGGGCAACAGGATGAATCAGCAAGAGAATATCAGACAGCAGCAAGAACGTCAGCAACTCGGAATGTACAACAACGACGATTTGGAGCGCTTTAGCAACAACGATGACCGCCTGCTGTACATCAACAGACGTCGCTTGCAGCAGCAGCAGGAGCAGGAGCAGCAACAGGAGCAGCAACATATGCCCCGTCGTGTTGGTACCATAGGTGAGGGTCGTCGTGTGGGCGCAACCCCATTGGAGGATGAGGACATCATGCAGCTTATCCGTCGTGACAATCGCCTGAATAACCTCAGCGATGATGAGATCATACAGATGCTTCAGCGCAACCGTCAGACTCGACGCATGCAGGAACAGAAACGCCAGCAGAGCTCTGATGAGGAGGACGAAGATGAGCGTGACCGCAGCAGTATTCAACAAGGCCGACGCATGCGTCGTAGCCTCAACATTGTTCAAGATCAGCAACATCAGCAGCAACAGGTGATCAATTCCCGTCGCAACGAGATCCTGTTGCACACTATTCAACAGCTGGTGGCTCGCCTCAATCAGGAACGCATCTCCCTCGGCCAGAATGTGAATGACCTGCAACTGAATGGCAATTTAAATGTCCAGCGCTTGAACAACCCCCGCCTAATCAACAATATCGATGAACGCTTTGCCCTGCGCCTGAACGACATGCGCCTGGACTCCATTCGCAATCGCGCCCTGCTCGAGCAGATCAATGACATCGAGCGTCGCCTGAATCTGGTTATCGATCAGTTGGTGCGTCGCGAGGTCGACGTCACAGGCAGACTAGGACAGCTGACCAAGCAACGTGAAATGGATCGCGTCATTGGGGATGTACTATTGGGTCGCCTGGGACAAGTTGGCATTCTGGACATCATACGCGAACTCCTGCAGAACGATATGCAGCAGGTGGGTCAGCAAGAGGATCGCCTAGGTCTGGGTGTGAGCCTCAATGACCCTGTAGTGCAGCACATTCTGCGCCGTATTGTGGCCATTGTCGATCAGCAGCGTGAGCAGCAATTGGGCTCGTACCAGCGTGAGGATTTGCGCATGGATGGTGTGACCATAAACGATGTACGAATGGACAAGCTGCGCACCCGCATCGATAATATCGACATGGATTTGAGCAACTTGTTGGAGCAAGATCAGGAAGAACAGCAGCGCGTGATAATTGGACGTCAGCGTCGCCTCAATAACAAGGCCTTCAATATCGAAATGGACATCACGTCTCAGCGCCCACAGCCAGTTGTCATTCGCATGCTCCTGGGACCACGCACCGACGCCCTTGGCCGTGAGCTCACCCTGGACGAACGTCGCAATAATTTCGTGGTTCTAGATACTATCACAACCCAACTGCAAACGGGACGCAATCGCATTCTACGCCGTTCCAATGACATTTCATGGACCACTCGTGACGCCACGCCAGCCACTGAGATCTATCGTCGCGTCATGATGGCCTTGAATGGCCAGACAGCCAACAAGGAAAACATCGAACTGATTGGCGAAAATGGACGCTTCCCTCAACGTTTGCTACTGCCTCGCGGTCGCCCCGAAGGTCTGCCCATGCAACTGTTGGTAATTGTCTCGCCTGTGGACGAACATGAGCAGCGTATGGGACGCATTGGCGGTGATGTCGCTGGTGTGCTTACCGGTCGTATTGGCACTGGCATTGACGGCGGCATTGGCATTAGCTCCGTCAATCAAGACAACCGTCCCTTGGGATACCCACTCGATCGCCCAATTGAGAACGAACGTGTTCTGCTCGATCTTCCCAATGTAAGCGTACAGGATGTTGTGATCATAGAAGACAACTAAATGAAGCCACACGAACGATATTGGAAACTAATGGACAACCGATCAATTGACCGAACCGACCGATCTGCTATGGCCTGGAATCCGACACAACGAAGCTTAGTTATTAGTTAAGCATATTTCAACAAAATTCTAGTAACCATAACTCAATTATTCCTTCCACAACATTATTAACGTTACCCTATTTTTAATAATCCACGAAATACATTATGCAATCTATGCAAAAAGCATTACAACTAAAAGGTCTATTAAATATAAATTAGAATCTTTATAGAGCAGAAGCAAGCAATAATCCACGAAATAACTAAAGCTATGAAGCTATTCTGTTCATTTTCAGTTCGTTTAAGCTTGTCAACATTCACATATATTCACAAAATAGGAATAAATACTCTTTTCTAAACAATCGACATGCTTAGCCAGCCAAAAATCGACGATATGATACGCCTGCTCGAAGGAGGATTTCGCCAGAGATCTCGTTTTATAAAACTGCTGAAGGAGGACATCAACGCAGTGTGTGCAAAGGCGCGAGATATATTTTTAAGCCAACCTATGTGCCTGCGGCTGAGTCCGCCTATCTGCATAGTTGGTGACTTGCATGGCCAGTTCGAGGATCTATTGCGCATTCTCAAAAGCACCGGAACTCCTCCTGAAAAACATTATCTTTTCCTAGGAAACTACGTGGACCGTGGGCAGAATTCAATTGAGACTATTACTCTACTCTTGTGCTACAAGATCAAGTATCCGGACTGTGTATTCATGCTACGAGGCAATCACGAGTCCCAAGCTCTCAATAGAATTCACGGCTTCCACGACGAGTGCCAGCGACGGTACAGCCACAAGCTGTGGCTTGCCTTTGTGGCATGCTACAGCTGCATGCCTGTGTGTGCCGTTGTGGGAGAGAAGATCTTTTGCTGTCACGGTGGTCTCAGTCCCCATCTCCTCAACATAGATCAGATTAACAAGCTGAAGCGCCCCACGGATGTTTCAGAAAACAGCCTTCTCTGCGATCTACTCTGGGCCGATCCCGACCGCATGACCTACGGCTGGCGGCCGAATTGTCGAGGAGTCAGCGTTACATTTGGCCGGGATATTGTGGATCGTTTCCTTGCGCGCCATCACTTCGAGTTGATCTGTCGTGGACATCAAGTTGTAGAGGACGGCTTTGAATACTTCGCCAGACGACAACTAATCACAATTTTCTCGGCACCTAAATTTTGTGGAAAGTATGACAATCATGGGGCAACCATGCACATAGATGAGAACATGCTGATCGCCTTTGATCTCTACGCACCTCTGACCAACAGTAGTACCAATTTAAATAGGAATAGGTCAAGCACTTATTTGCAGAGCTAAGGCTTTATCGAATTGGATTGGCAAAAGCATGCCTGGAATACTACATTCTCAAAAAAAAAAAGTTGTGATAAGACCTGTTCGTTTTTGGATTTTGCAATCCTTAAATTATATTTTTCGCATTTATTTTTTTAAGTCAAAACTGCATTTTTTTTACAAGAAAATATAAATCCCATACGCATGTACGGCGATTATGGGGTGTGTTCAAAAGTAATGGCACTATTTCTAGAGTTTATCAGATTTTTTAGGAGATGACAAGTGTTTTAAGTCATCTTAAGCGTTTGTTTTTTCTCTTATATTTTAATTAATGTAAATATTTAATTTTGCCAATTGATCCGACTAAGTACAGCCATGTTTTATAAATTATAAACATTTTAATTTAAAAGGGGGGCTGAATACAAGTCGCTGTCATTATCACAAAAGAAACATTAAGTAAAAACTTAAGAAAGTATTATAAACCAGTAATAGCAAATAATGATTATTTTGTTTGTTTTTTGACTTTCGGGAAGCGAGGAACTTACGAATATTCTTTTTTTTAGGATTATCTATGCATTTTCAACAACGATTTAAAAACTTTTATTCATTCTTTCAAAATTGAATGATTATTTTTAGTTATACTTTACAACTCAACCAATAACCATTAAATATTTTGATGAGATTTATTTTTGATCAAAAACTATGACTCACAAAATAATCATTATTTTATAAGTTTTATTTTTTTGCTCAAAAATAATGATTATTTGTAGAGTAAAACTGAAAATAATTCAATATATCGAGATCGAATAAATAAAATTAAAAAATATTTTGTAATTTATTTCATTTATTTCATTTATTTTTATAATTACACATAATGATTACAGTCCCTGTTATAAACGTTCAAAAATATTTTTAAAGCTCATTCGCCAAGCCTGAAAATACCTAAGAACTAGAGCTCTCTCTTTAATCATAAAAAAGTCCCTTTTTAAACGCAGATTCTTAAAGCATACACGGAAAATGCTTCCTTTTTGCAATTATTGAAGAGATTTTACATTTTTGCAATATTTTTTTAAATCTATCCGTTTCTAAGAAAAAGCACTGATATTGAAAAAGTCTATCCTGCCAACTGCAGCACGTTGCCTTAACTCTAGTCTGTGATCATTTCAACCAACAGCCTGACTGATAACACTTCACTGGCTTTTCTAATTTCGAAAAACAATTTCAATGCAAATTACATGACAGTCTCGCTTAAAATCGCCCCCACCTTACATTATTTTGTGCAGACAATGCAACAACAAATAGCCAGCAGCTGCCTGGCCTGCACTATAATAGACTTTTCTTATTCTTGCCACACAACTCAATTTGCCACAACGCTTGTTTCCCATTCTCTTGCTCTCTCTGCCTCTGCCTCTGTCTCTGTCTCTCCTCTACCCCTCTCGTCTTCGCTGCTTCAGTACTGACGTGTAAAGCGAGCAGAGCAGCCAGCGATGCGTCAATTGCCAAATTAATTGGCCGTAAAAAATTGAAAATGAAAATATAATCACACTTTCCGTTGTCGTTGGTCGTCGGTCGCCGGTCGCCGTTCATCGTTGGCTCAGCTTTTAACCCTGTACTCTGCATATGGAGGAGTGGAGTGGGGGCATCGGTTTTCTCATCAGCCAACCGGCATGGAGCAGACATTTTGCTGCGGGCTTGCAAACTTGCATTTTTGCAGCAACTGCGCAGTCTTCTATTGCTTTTTTCTTCATAGCTAGTACGTTGTCACCTCACAATAATGGAAAATTTCCGCACTTGTTGTTTTGTGTCTGCCTTGCCGCCTCAATGCATTTTCATTATTTTTTGAGTGTTTGCCGGCGCGCAGCTTTGAAGAAGCAAAAATAAAAAATGCCAGCCTTTACATTACACGGCCTATTAGCTGCTCGCTCTTAATGCAAAAATAATTAGCGCTCAGAGTTCGGCTAAGTTTATTTAAACCTTGCAAAACTTTTGAAACACCTCGAGTGGCAATTGAAGTGGCAGAGGCCGCAAACTTTTGTGATTAGCAGCTAAGCAAGCAAAAAGGCACACAGTGGGATCATTAAGGGGCATTCAAATTACGGAAATATTGCATAATTTACTCTCGTATCTTGAAACATGCATGTATGTAAATATTTATCGGAAAAGTATGCAATAAATATTGGGGTCTGCATATTCCTTTTTTTAAAGCAAAGGAGGTACAAGTAAACACTAAAGTCTTAGGCTAAGCTTTTTAAGTCACTGCCTACTATCAAGAAATAAATAACAAGACGTTAGTCCATTCTAGGTTTCAATTTGGTAAATATTTGCATAAATAGTGATTCAAAGTGGTTCTTAAATATGAAAAATATTTTAATTTCTTAATTCCAACTACATATGTATACTATATGTATACATTTTGGCATTCTAAGCTATTATTCAGTCCCCCAAATACTGACTCTATATACTGCTTTAAAGCATAGTTACACGTTAAAGCTTGGTATTAAGAGAGTTTGTTTTTAATAATCATAATTGACTTTTAAGAAACCATCGACCATAGGAACAGGAATAAATTTTAAACTCAGCAAACTAAGGTCGACTTTTAGTTTTATGCATGTCTTCAATCCGACCTACGAAATTTCATTTTTCTAGTGATGATTAATGTAATTCACATATCTAATCATTTTATTGCCAACAAGCTCTAAATGCATCAAACGAGTTAGATGGCCACAAAAAAAAGATGAGTTTAACCAATTTGTAAGACAAAAATATATAGTGATCTATCATTTAGGTTTCATTCATCCCACTGTGAAGTACAGAGAATCGTATATTCCCAACAAGTTTTAAATTCGTTTTCAAACGATTTGGATGTCCAGAAAAAAAATGTATTTAACTAAATTGATGAGAGGTCTGTTTGGTAAGATACAAAATATATATTGATCTATCATTTAGGTTTCATTTATCCCACTGTGTGGTAGAGAGAGCGGCAGATAACGGTAGTTGAGCATTCAGGCAGCTGATGCGGAAATGCGCGCATAATTTATGTGCAAGCGGAAATGCCGTCGCGCAGTTGTTGTATTTGTTGCATACTTTCGAGCGCGCCACCAAAGTTTTCTTCGAAGCACAAATTAGCGAAACACGTTCATTTGTTTCGCGCCCACCACAGCCGCAAAACTTTTTCAGTTATGAATATAAAGTTTATTTATTAAGTTTGCGTTCGCTTATCTGCCTCTGTTTGCTTTCACAAAACTTTGCAAATTAAGCGGAAGACAAAAATGCAGCCAACAGCAACAGCAACAACAGCAATAACATTCCTATAAGCGACGACTCTTTATGGCAAATCAATGAATGTGTGAATGAGTCAACTACGGATTCTCAGGAAAACTCACATTTTTACCTTTTGTGAAGACGTGTGGAAAATATTGTGGGCGTGAGACGCCTGCAAATCAATGAAAGTCACATCCCATCGCCACCTTTCGCCAACCCTTGCGGCAACAAATTTACAATAAACATTTTGGCTATCAAGTTGAGCAGAAAACTTCGTGGCATTCATATGCATATAGAAAAATGCTAACAAACGGAAATGTGATATACGCGTTCAAGCAGTTTTTCTTTCTTTCATACCCTAAGAACTGAAAAAAGTTCGTGGGCTGTCAGCTTTCTTATGAAGTAAGACTAGATATGAAAAAAATGATAATTATGATAATAATTAAATATGAAGGGGAAAGAGTAGTTTTTCTAGTGTGTAATACTTTTGGATTTATTTCAAAGCTTTAATCGTTGAATAATCTAGATTAAGAAACATATTTTTTTGGATGCCCCATTTCTGCATAATAATATTTAATTAAATTTTTATAATATCAGGCAAAAAATATCCAAAATACTTTTAAAAAAATAGTAGTAAAGTTTTAAAAGGTCAATAGAGAATCGAGGATCATAATCTCTTGGTCTCTTACCTAAGAAGGAGATTGTTTTCCCCTCACCTACTTTTAATTTAAATTGTTTTATGCAATCACCTACAATGTTTTGTTGTTTTTTTTTTCACATTAATTTACATTATTGGCTTTTGCATGGATAAATTAATTTCTAATTTTCATCTTTAGCTTCATAGGAACATAGACTGGTGCTGATAGCATTCATTTCAAACTTGCTTGATTCTTTTAAGTCGTCGAAATATTTGCAAGAGCATGTTCTGTTCGGCCTGACATATATTTAGTTTTTGCATGGGTTCTTCCCTTTTTTGTATTTTGTTGTTGTGGCCAATATAAAAGACGGGCGCATTGGGCGGGACATGACAATTGCCATTCAAAATTTGTGTAGGAAGGTAGAGGAAAGGTAAAGAGGCAGCCTTAGAGTTGGAGTTGCAGGCAGTCTTCGTCAATGTATTCTATTCTATTCAATTTGTGCGAATTAAAAAATACTCCATACAAATACATACGCGACAGGCACATTGAGCCAAAAAAAAAAGTATCTCTCTCTTTTCCTTTCTTTGGGCTTTTGTGCCCAGCTTCATGGCATTGACACGCTTTGGCGGCTTGCTTGATAAGAAGAGAGGAGGGGAGGAGTGTAAAGGCATGTCTCAGGCTTTTGCTTGAAGTGGGATTAAAAGGCGGTATTGTAAAAGAAACATTTTCATAAGTAGGGATTACAGGAAGTGCGCAGTGTTCAGGAAGGGATCCACGCATCGATGCTGATTGACGCTGCCTGCTACAGCAGTTCGTTGCAGGTAAGAGTTGAGCTAAAATGCTGATATGGGAAAAATGTTGCTTGCTAAACTAATAGTTTACAAATATTTTCAATTACGCGCTGCTGTGACAGCAAAATCAATTTGCACAGCCACAAACATACACATACCACACAAGCATATCTAGAAATTACATTCGCATACATACACCAAACTGGTCCTTATTTGCGTTCATTTTCACATTTTTTTTAAATGTGAAGAAAGTTGAAATTTGTACAAAATGCCTGAAATTTTAAACTTTTTGAAGGAAGGCATTGCCTTCTCGATGCATGTGTCGATTGGATTTCACCTGCTGACCGCTGTGATTTATGATTCGGGTAAGTAAAAATGTCAAACGAAATCTCAAAACAAACATCGAAAAAAAATATTATGATTACATGATTAAGATTTTTCGATTTCGGCACTACGTAGTCCGAATGTTGTCGAGA